GAATTAAGAACGCGGCGACCGGTATCCCGACAAAGTATCCCGAAAGCGCCAGCTGGATTGACATTGGCAGCCGTGCTGAGACAGTTGGTCTCATCACTAAGCCCTTCGCCGCTGCCGCCCAGCCTATAGGTTTTGGAAACGAGTTCGCCATTCAGTTTGACGAGGCCCCGACCGAGTTTGCTGTTCTAACCAACACTGGCGTCCATGTCATCCGGAGGCGAAGGTTTGTCGATATCTTCTCGCTGGCTCTCCGCTCTGCTGTTGGAGATGAGGGATTCGACAAGGTCACGCGAAAGTTCCTCCATATTTATGGTAGAGTAGAAACCGTTTCCACTGCGCTGGCTATTGCGTGCGGACATGGTGGTGATGCTCGCCCCGGAGCGCCTCGAGCTATCGACCAGGCCACCGAAGACCGTGCAAGGAGCGTATTCGTCGATTACGGTGGCCAGCCCACAATCACAGAGACTGACGGCACAACACTCACGACAGACTCTGTCAAGCTCTCATCACGCCATGATGCTTTGGCGCTTTATATTTCCCGCTTGGTTCGAAAGATGTGGAAATCAACTGTCATCACACTCCTCGCTGCACCAAATGGGGCTATTGCTGTCACATCTACGGTTCCTGTAGCCAAACTTACTGATATCCAGGAGAACCTGGAGCGTCTGCGCAAGTTCTTGACCACGAATAAGGGGCTGATTCAGGGACTTTCTGGCCCCGCTGACCTCCAGCGTGTTTCTACACGACAGGAGGAAGTTGCCTTGCAAGCTGAGCACCAGGCTCTGCATGCTCTCCAGAAGCTCCTGGAAAGCATCTCCGAAAGCATTTCTTTCGTACTCATGCTTTTCGGTGATCGCGTCACGGATATCTTTGCATCGCTGGAGGCTCCCACTCAGCAGCAATTTAGGGACCTGACATACGAGAAACTCTTTTCACAGTTGGAAGGCAAAGATCTTGCCAAGGTTGTGGTCAAGGCTATTGTTAATCGCAACATTGCCAGCGGCTCCAACGTGGAGACAGTGGCAGATACTCTTCGCCGACGATGCGGAAGCTTCTGCAGCCCCGACGATGTGGTCATCTTCAAGGCCCAGGAGCAGCTTCAACGCGCTTCTGAGCAGCCACTCAACACCAACCAGGCAAGAGCGCTACTGCACGAGAGTCTGCGCCTGTTTGAGAAGGTGGCTGGTAGCCTCTCTTTTGTTAACCTTCAGTCTGCCGTCACTCAGTTTATCAACCTCAAGTACTATGCGGGTGCTATCCAGCTTTGTCTTGCGGTAGCTCAGGAGAAAGATCGAGGCAACACTGCCCTGACTTGGGTCAACGACGGCAAGCCGGCCTCTGACCCTCGAGCAAGCGCTTTCAACGAGAGGAAGAAGTGCTATGACCTGATACACGAAGCCCTCCGCCACCTCGACACCGCATCAAGCGCTGAGCCTGAGACTATCGATGGCAAACTCACCCTGATCGCAACTAAGAGGCTAGAGGCATACTCGGTTGTGAACGATTCCACCGATGAAGTCTTCCACTTTGACTTGTACGAGTGGTACATCCAGCAAGGATGGACAGATCGTATTCTCGCTATCGACTCTCCCCACGTCGTTACCTTCCTTCAGAGTCTCGCCGCGACCAACTACGAACATGCGGATCTCCTCTGCCGCTTTTACACGAACCGCAGTCGCTTCTACGATGCTGCCGAGGTCCAAAGTCAGCTCGCAAACTCTGACTTCTCCATTGGCATCAAAGAGCGAATAAAGCTCCTCAGCATGGCGAAGGCCAACGCGAACGTTTCTACTGTTGGAGTCAGCCGACAGCAACAACAAATGCTCAACCACGGTGTCTCCGAACTCCTGGACATTGCTAATATTCAGGATGACTTGCTGGAGCGTCTTTTGGCAGATGACAGATTGGACGAGCAGAGGAAGGAAGAAATTGAGCAAGTCCTCAACGGAAAGATTCAAGATCTTTCAGTGGTATGTGCCCATAATATTGCAACTGATTTCCTGGGATGAATGCTAATTGTGCTGTAGCTTTTTAATGAATATGCTGATCAAGCTGGCTACTATGACCTATGCTTGCTTATTTACCACACTGCTGACTACCGCAATTCCACGACGATCTTTGGAACTTGGAGCAACCTTATCCAACAAGTCCATGACGATGTGTCGGAGTTACAGGAGAACCCCCTGCCAAACACCCCGCCGCCACCAATGCCTTACGAGGCTGTGGCCTCCAGGATCCAGAACATTGCTCATCGCACTTCGCTCGATAGCTTTGTGTTCCCTATCGCAACTTTGCTGCCTGAAGTATGCCGTTACGCCGCCACCTCCCAGCAGGATGGGCGAATTGGAGCCGATGCTTCGTGGCCTGTTCAGCTTTTCCTTACACTAGGAGTTTCTCATGATATCATTGTACGAGTCCTTGAGAATGTGTTTGATACCCAGGATTATGGTTTCAGCGGCGCCTCTCGGTACCGCATCATTGAACTGATTGCATACGTGGTCAACGATTGGATTGCCGAGGTGCGCCGACGAGGCGGCGTTGGCAAGGGTGTGTCCATCGGACTCTACGTTGGTGATTTACTGGCGAGGTGCGAGGCTGCCCTTCCCGCCCCAGGCCACGGCAGCAACCCCGGCGGCGCGGACCTGGCAGACATTCGCAGAGTGCTCAGGACAGTACAGAGGGAGGTTGCCGGACTGGTAGAGCGAGTCCCAACTGGAAGCTTGCGGTTCGCATAGAGATTCTACAAATCGGTGGCGTATATATAAAAGACGGTCCACTCGCTGATGGCTGGGTGGTTATTGTTTCGGTGGTTTGTATCTTGATATTATTTTGGTAAAGCGGACTACAGAGGGGTAGATAGAACGAACAAGGAGGAGGCATTGAGTGATGGCGCCTTTGGCGACGGAAAGGGTTCACTTTTTTTTTTATTAATCCTTGGCTGGTTGCTTTCTCTTGGTCGTGTAATATAATGGCCTGACGGTGTATCATCTTGAAGCGAATAACTAAGACTGGATAAATGACGAAGCAACCACTTGCGCTGAGACTCTTTCGGATAGTTTCCCCCTTCTATCATTAGTAATGAGCGAGTTTCCATTCCGAGAATACGACATAAACATATTTGTAAGATGAATTTACTGGGCAGCTCCTCGGCGACTTTTGGTGCGATGCAGGCATCAAGGTCCAGGAGCTGGAATCCGGAGACATTTCGGGCACTAGACAACGACAGAATATATTATATATTGGAGCGCGATGGCCATGGCAATAGCATGTAAGTCGTGCTGCATGCGATTTAAACAAAAAATTTCAATAATTCAACCATCCAGATCTTAGAGCATTCAACTGCATAGCCCAAATAACCATGGCCCAACCACAGACAGTCGCCCAGGCCGCCAAGGGCCTCGCCACGCTCTTCAAGGCGGGCATGTCGACCGGCCACGAGCAGCTGCTCATCATCACCAAGACCATCATGCCCGTGATCGCGTCCCCCCTCCTGCAGCAGATGGGGCTGGGCGAGGGGACGACCCAGCCGTTCGCGCTGCTGGACGGGGCGTGCGGGAGCGGCGTGGTGACGCAGGAGGTGCAGAGGATGGTGCCGCGGGCTGTCCTGGAGGGGAGCTCGATCGTCGCGAGCGACTCGTCGGAGGCGCTGGTGGAATTGGTGAGGACGAGGGTGGAGGCTGAGGGGTGGGTTAATACTGAGGTGAAGGTGCTGGATGCGATGGTGAGTGGTTCATATATTCTTCAAACACGGGAGAAAGAAGAGGTGATCAATATCTAATTGCGACTATAGGATACGAAACTTGCGGAGAATTCATTCAGTCATGTTGCGCTTGGGCTGGCTCTTCATCTGATACCCAAGCCGGATGATGTGCTCAAAGGTAAGCAACAGAGAATACGAGACAAACGTTTTGTTCATGGTTGACTAACAGCTTGAATAGACTGCAGGCGCATCTTGAAGCCGGGCGGCATCTTCGGCGCAACGACATTCAACGATAGCGTCGAGGAGAAGCGCTTCTGGCAGCCGGACTTGCGTGCCGCGTTCAAGTCATTCCCGTTCGAGGCGCCTTACCCTGACTCGATACCCATACAGACGCACACCTCGGGCAAGTGGGCGAGCCGGGACTGGGTGGAGGAGCACCTCAAGTCACAGGAAGGGTTCAGCAATGTGGAGGTGAGGCTGGTGCCCGGGACGTATCGCCTGCAGAGCGGGGACGAGTTCGTGACGGCGTTTGGGATGATGATCTCGTGGGTGATGAACTCGTGGTGGAGCGAGGAGCAGCGGGCTGCGCACCCGCTCGAGGAGGTCAAGGAGCTGGTGAAGAAGTATCTGGATGATAAGTACGGGGGTAAGGGGTGGGATGTCAGTTGGGAGAATCTGGTGATGACGGCAACGGCTGAGTGAGGAGTTTCGGTTGTCTGAAGAGCCTGGTTCAAGCGAAGTAGATTCTCACATAGATAGATTCCTAGCTTTACAGAAAGTTGAGTGAAGACACTAAAGGGTTTTGCCTGCAAACGTAGATTGGAATAACCCTCTTGAAGTTGATTTCTACATGTTTTACAACCACTGAATATAGAAACCCCAAGTGTCTCGGCTGGACTATTAAGTTGCTGCCCCAGACTCCCTTGAGAGACACCGCACGTGATTGATGCAGGGGCACCGCGCGCTAGATTGATATCAGCCACAGGGGTCTACAGGGGGCCAAGTCCTGAAGAGCCCCTGGCGCGCACCTCTCTGGCACCCGCTTGGGGCTCTGATTGGGGGGCACTTTGATGGCAATCGCTGACATTTGGAACGTGGCTATTGGAATTTCGACCACGGTGGTGGCAGGCAGTGATTCGAGATTGCCTACCTGTCTTCATTCCTCTATCACATCGATCCCCGCGTGAGTGTCCTCGAGGTCCGACTTGGTCTTTGCCATTGATCCTCCTGCCACCCGATCGCAGAGAGCATGGTCGTCGCATAGGTTCTCCAACCTCCACCTCCTGAACCGTCCGCCGAGATGCTCGTCGCCGCTCTCGCGCTCGTCCTGGGCGCCCTGACGTCCACCGTCGCCGCCGTCCACGAAGATGCGCTCCCCTCGTATACCTACGGCGCGCCAATCCACGTCGAGTGCATGAACCGAAGCTCGTATGTCCTCCTCTGCCCATGAGCCGAGCAAGCCGCCCTTCAAACGAAGCTGGAGAGACCAAGCCCCAAACTAACACCAATGATCGCAGGGAAACGGGCGAGCACCTCGAAAACGACAACCACGAGATCCAATGGATCCCCTTCCCGACGTGCAACGAGACCGGCAAGCCCCTCGAGTTCCACTACGGCACCGAGGGCGAGGTCAACTGCACCATCGACTTCGTCACCGACCCCTTCTTCCACCTGCTCGAGTTCTACATCCACAGCGACGCGCCCCTGGCCTGCCGCCTGCCCTCGCGCCCAAAATCCCACGTCGAGATCATCGGCGAGGCGCCCCCCGAGCAGGAGTTCATCCCCCTCGTCTTCGCCCTCGCGGGGACCCTGCAGCTGAGCCACATGCACATCAGCACCCACCTCAACGTCCTCCTGCACAGCACGCCCAAGCACCACATACGCCCCCACGACAGCGGCGTCCTCGACTCGGGCGTCGCGTACAGCACCAGCCCGCTGAGCCACATGGCCGGCTCCTTCACGCGGAAGCTGGTCATCGGGGACCCCCTACCGCTCAGCTTCTCTGTTAGGTGGTTCCCCACGCCGCACCTGCCCAAGACCGAGGGGCGCGTCGAGTGGCAGGGCTTGGGCGGGCACATCTACGCCAGCACCGTCTTCTACAGTCTTGTTTCTTTCCTGGCCGGGTCCGTCGCCGCGGGCTTGTACACCCTCGGGGTCGTCCTGCCCAGGAGGCTGCAGGGTCGCGCGATGGGCGGCGCGACGCCGTTGGGCCATGGCTTGCATAGTCCTGCGCTAGGCAACGGCTGGGGGTACGCAAAGTCTAAGCGGATGGATTAAGTTTTTCTCGACTGGGTGGTAGAGAAAGTGTTGTGGCATCAGGGGAGGAGAAAAAATAGCATGTTTCATTACTATTAATGTGTGACTTCTACGGAGTTCTTGGGAGTAGAGATGGGGATATGTATTTGATGTGTATAAATGATCATTCTCATTTTCGTGTTAGCTCGCTGTGGCTCTATGGGAGGTGTATCTTGTGTTATCCGGAGAGATTATATCATAGCCAAAAGATCGGTTCTATACTTGGCCGCTGGATCACGCTTTCTGTGACTGGATACTTTTGTGTGTATCTACTGACTCTTGACCTTCTTCTCGAGGTTGCTAATACGGGCAAGAATGCGAAAGTGCATATCAACAGCCATGAGAACAGCTGAAAACCCCCAAACTACTGTTAGATAACATACATCAATACTTAAAAAGGGGTAGAGTAACTCACGTATCAAAGTAAAAGGGAAGTAAGTCCCCCACAGCAGCGACGTCTTCTTCACCGGGTCCAGCACCTCGGCGCCCAGCTGTGCGATGTGGTAGCAGGACACGGCGGCGCCGAAGCCCGTTGTGCAGCCGAACGCGATGCCGGAGAGCTCCGTGCGGGGGTCGGTCGTCACAGAGGAGGCGAGCTTGTAGGCGAGGTAGGCGCACAGGGGCAGCTGGACGAGACCCTCGATGAGGATGCAGGCCTGGAACCAGGGCTCGTGGGCGGGCTCGGCGAAGAAGGGGTCGCCCGAGTAGGAGGTGTAGGCGGCCTTGAGGGAGACGAGGAAGTGGAGGGGGGAGGATGGGGATTCCCAGAGGGCTTTGGGGTAGAATTGGACGAGGTCGAGGGCTGGAGAAAGGGGGGAGGAGGGTGTTAGTGAGACAGGCGGTGGTGATGAGTTCAATTGGGGATTGTGAGGGGTCGGATCGTACCTAGCATCCCAAAGAGCTGGGTCCCTACGATGAAGAGGTAGACCTTGTCGAGATACCGCGCAATGGCCATTTTTGCTGGTGTGGTGAGGCTGGATGTAGAAGGTTTGTTTGGTTTGGATCTGGCCTTGTCGTCAATTGGGTTAGTTCGCACGCGTTGGAGATCAGATCTCGAGGTGGGCCTCACTGGTGTATCTAGTAAGTGGGTGATTGGCTTGGCCAGATGGTTTCAGATTGCGGAGATGTCGAAAGGCAAGACAACTAGAATTTAAAGATGTCAGCTCAATCTTTTTGAGATGTCGATGGTGCGCGGGGTTGGGCCAAGCCACAATCGACACCGCCCCCTGTCACGGCTCTTATACGACCTCAGCCATACGTGAGTGTGTCTTGATTCAACAACAGCCAAAACGTTGCAGTGGAAAATACCACCATGGCCAATCCCAACCAATCACCCGCTCAAGGACTGCCCCAACAGCCTAAAAAGCTATTCATCCAGCTCTCAGGCGCCCCAGGAGCCGGCAAGTCCACCATGGCCGAGCTGCTGAGACAACCCCTCGGCGCCGTGGTGCTGGACCACGACATCATCAGATCCTCCCTCCTGTCAGGCAACGAGATCACCTTCCAGGACGCCGCCAAGTCGGCCTACCGCCTGAACTGGGCGCTCGCCGAGTCCATCCTCCAGCAGGGCTTCAGCCTCATCATCGACAGCACCTGCAACTACCGCGAGATTCTGGACAGGGGGATCGAGCTCGCCCGGCGGCACGGGTGCGAGTACTGGTACGTCGAGTGCCGGGTCACGGACATTGAGCTGCTGGACGGGAGGCTGCGCGCGAGGACGCCGATGAGGAGCCAGAGGACGGGCGTGGACCGCGCGCCCGTCGATGCCACGGCCGCCGAGTATAGTGATGCGAGGGCGAGGTTCATGCGCTGGGTGGACAGTCCCGCGCGGCCTGGGGAGGGGGACGGGGTGAGTTCGATTACTGTTGATGCGACGGCGAATCCGGAGGAGAGGCGGGATGAGATTCTGGCCAAGATATTCTCGACTCAGTGAAGCGAGGCCGTATAAGAGACGGGATGACCCTGGAGGCTAGAATCTGACATTATCTGCGGAGTTCGAATCGTGCTCGTGAGCGGACATCAAGTCATGATGGACATAGATATGAAACAATGGTTTCTGTTGACAGTGACGTGGTAAAAGAGGTGCACACGAAGAAAGTACTTCGAATCTTGGGAGATGGTTATTGCATGCTACAAACAGACTTTCTTTTGAGCAACCCACAGCCTGGACAATTATAGACGGGATATAGAAGACCAGGCAGATAAAAATGAAATTTTTGTGAAGACCCAAACACCTTGCTAATAAACCCATGGAACGCAAACAAATGAAACGAAAACCCCAAGAGCTCCCCGATATAAATCATGATATCATCATCATTGCGCCGTAGGTATCATCCGAATACGCCAGACCGTAACAGTCATCCATCAGCTCCCAGAACCAAAACCACAAGTCTCATCACATTCCATCATTGCAGCTGACCAGAATCGAGAATGAGGCGACGGAAGAGAAAGAATTTTTAAAAGAAGAATGTGATTCCCTCTCACACATTGGACTCGGCCACAATCGTCGACGCGGGGCGGTATTGCTGCGGCGGCATCTGATCCTCGGCGGCCCTCAGCTCCGTCAGCCAGGCATCGACCCTGCGCTGCTTATCCTCAGAAACCTGCAGTCCATAGGCATAATTGGCCGCCCCTCCATAAGCAACATATGTGTTGCCGCCGTGCCCTTGATCGGGGCAGTCGTCCTCGCTCATGCTATAAAGGGTAAGATGCTCGAGGATGGCGAGTACCGCGACGGTGACGATCTCGGGTAAGGGGCTGCGGTTGTCGTGCCAGTCGCAGGCGGCGGAGAAGATGAGGATAAAGGTGTCCATGGAGTCAACGAGGAGGTTGAAGAGGAGGGCGCGGCTGGTCTCGCGGCGCGAACCGCGGTCGGCGGTCCAGAGGAGGGCGCCAAGGACGAGGTCGCGCGAGGCGAGGAGGCTGGCCATCATGAAGGCGGGGCCCGTGGCGGGGATCTCGAAGCTGGCGAGGCCGAGGGCGGGCCAGGCGACGAGGAGGAGGGCGCGGAGGAGGCGGGTGACGCAGAAGAGGTAGATGGCGAACTGCTGCGGCGCCGAGAGCTTGAAGGGGGGCGGGGAGGCGGGCGCGGCGCGGGTGGCCCTGAGGAGGGGGATAGTTGGGTCGTTGTTGAGGTCCATGATTGCGCGGTGGACGAGGTAATTAGGAGGAGAGTTGATGAGGATGGGTGGATGGGCGGATATCGAGCTGTGAAGTGGAAGCAATCGCAGGTGGTGGTGGTTGCCCGCACTCGAGAAGATGTGGCGATGGTGGTGATAGTGACAAAGCGGCAGTACTAGCTGCAGTCACAGATGGTCGGCAGGGTCGAATGAGCCCGAATGTACTGGCCCAATTCCAGAGCAAGGGGTATAACGAAAAGAACAAGTATATGGACAAAGTCTAATCGTCGTGGGCAGCGAGGAAAAATAGCATGTAAAGCAGGTATATCAGTCGCACTGCAGGGGCTGGAAGCTCTTCTTTTTTTGTTCACGATACGATGGTGCAGTGCAGTGGGTGCAGGGATGCCGCGCGGAGCCGCCGGGGGCATCAACAGTGATTGTCAACTGACATGACGAGTTTTAACCTCTTGGGACCAGGTCCAGAAAAAAAATTGGGCAATGGGAGCGCAGACGGATGTCAGGAGGGGAGATGGGGGAACAGGCAAGAAATATCTCTCGCCAAGGCGATCTGCGTGAGGGGGCAACTGGCTGCCTCTCCATTCACACAGCCAAACAGCTAGCGGTCAAAGACGAAGATGCCCATTCCTCTTCCCGAGTCTACACAGTTCGCCATAGTTCTCGAGGCTGGTGCAGAGTGTCCAGATCGGGATGGTGATGAGCAGCAGGAGGGTGTCGGAGGCACTATGCGAGAAAGAATGCAACGGTCCAATGCGGTGGGCTTTGCTGGGCGGCCTTATCGCGTCGGAAGTCGTCCAGGCCAGTCCACGACATGGATGGACATGGGCTGGCCACTAACATCCCGGAGTGGTGTGACGGAGGTGGCTGGCCTGAGTGGTGCGAGCTGCCGATCTCAAACGCATCCACAACGAGCTGCATGCAGCTTATTAGCCTGGCGTCCATTCACAGACTCGTGCATGCTGGTGGGTGGGTGGATGGTCGATGGCCAGAAGCATCGCGCCGGGATGGGCGATGGTGGTGGTGTCGATGCGAGTCGCCTCGTCCACGCGTTTGCCTCCCGCCGTGAACGCTGAATTACAAGGCTTGAGGCAGTGATGATGAAGCTTCCGAAGATCTCTGCATTTGCGGCGAGAGACTGGCTGCTGGTGGCGGCTTGGGAGACACTCAGATGCAGTGTAATGGAGCTGCTGACATGACTGGCGATCGATCGAGAGCTTCAGCCCCGATGAATCATGACTACCTACCACCGTAACTACCTAAGGTATGTACGTATGTATCTGCTTGTCTTCACTTGACCGCAAGTTTCGATGCTCTTCCCCTCAACCCCTCCAGCTCCCCCAGCTCATCCATCCAGACGCTAATTCCATCGACTGTCGCTAGTCGCCCTGCTTTTGCTCTCTTCTCCCCCACCTCCAGCCTCTCACTGCGTCCGACCCTACACCATCCACCTCCTCAATTGCCTTTCTCTTGCCTCTTGCTCGCAGGCAGGGCACCAATCAGTCGCACTGGCCCGCCATGCACTGCAACTGCTCCCTTCCGCCTGCGAGGAGGGCCCTGCGATCAAGGAAGGGTTGCGACCGGTGTGTGAGTGTGTGTGATTCGAGCCCGCCTATTGCTCAGTTTGCCCTGCTCCATCCAAGACATTTCATGGATGCTGAAGCGAGAAGTGCATGCAGCTATGCACAAGCGTAACATGCAACCACACCACATTGACTCTACACACACATGTCTTGTAGATTACTGCACTTCATACCACCTCGACTGGCATACAGGTGACCATTCTGGCCTGCAGGGAGTCCAGGGACCACACAAAGTGGCGGATTCCCATGTTTCGCCTGCCCGGATTGCCATACCTGGAATCTCCCTGGCCCTGCAGATGGACGCTCGCTCGGAGCTTTGGCGCCGGCTCCCAGACTTTTCCTCTGCATCGCCATCATCTTATCTCTGGCGCTTGGTATGTGGGCAATCGCCTGACCCAACGTGATCTGACCACCGGCCAGTCACCACTTTGCGATTGCATCGCCTTATCATTCCTTCAGATTTCGCCATCACATCATTTCCCCACGCATATGTCACGCAGCCGTATGAATCCCACCGTCATTTTCTGCTTACCGCGAGAAGCAGGTTCCGGCCGAGATGTCTCAGGCCAGCCCTCGTCCGCTCCGTCAGCCCTGCTCCCTCCCTGCCCCGATTCTCGGATTCGTATTTTATACTGCATGCTGTGTAGCCTGCGGCATACTGACCATGTCTATGCACGAGTGAGCCCAATTGGTATAGCATGGCGCGGATGGTGACAATGAACATTGCAACGCCTCCCACTTATGAGCGCTACTACTGTTTGATCTAGCGCCCATGGATCGCTCCCCCAAATTTCAACTAAAGTGCCTGAAACTGTAGGTCCCCAGTGAGAGATGATTCCTAGACAAGATGTTCCTGTCACTTAACCTCTAGAATTGGAGTCTTTGGTGTTGGTGTCCACTATATCGGATCGTGGGCTTGTTCTATTTGCGCATTTTTAAAATGTAACTCTCTCCAATTCCCCCCAATTCTAGACAAGCTTAGCTTCGCGGGTACTGAATATCCATATGGAGATGCCAAATTTGATATAGGCTCTAAGCTTATTCAATAGCTTAGGGTTCAACTGACTTCATATATATCTTTGATCAGCCCTCCGGAGAATTGGCCCCTTTAGCATCGTGAAGTGCAAAAAGGGAGGTTTTATTTCCAATTTATCCCGCACTAATGGCTTTTCTAGCAAATACCGAACCTAATCTAGTACTTGTTACCCTCAACTTTAGAGTTGATGAATTATCACGTCTTCACTGTCACATCAGCAGCAGAGCTGGCTATATTGAATTTCTGGACCGTTTGCTTCGGGATAGATAGGACATTGGTATACCATGACTTCCCGTACTGATATTCTTAGTCTATGGAAGAAAATAAACATACAACAGCCAGGATTCGCTGGTCGTCACCGAACCAGCTACTATTTGGCCCCTTACTAGCTTAACGCTCGGAGATCAAACGGGATCCAGTGCTTCCTAGTAGGTATGGTCGTATGTGGTTGAGAGAGGATGTAATTTGGTTTACAAATCGTAGTGGTGGCTGGCGCGGGCTGGTGAAACTACCTACATGTATTGGTAGATCTCGGCAAGCCTATCTGTCACGAATGGGCAAGGGGGCGATATTAATCACTAGACGCTGCATTTATCTTATAGAAGGAACAAATAACTTAGTTTGGTGCTTCGAATCTATGGTAGAGGTATGAATCCTGGATAGGCTGAGCTGCGTCTAGGGTTTCGGGCTCTGAAAACGGAGCAACCAGATCATTGTATGGCTCCAGAACCGCCATCTCTATGAATCGATTTTTAACCGCCACGAACCACGTAGCTTCGCTCTGATGCTCAACTTCCGTATTATAGGCGAAAAAGTCGCACGAGATCAACACCTCTCTGCTCGCATGGTAGCGAGCAACCAGCGATTCGTCCGTGGGCTGACCTAGAGGTCGGTATTGACCCGGACTCAAAGGCATTGGACCAAGCGCAGTGTCAATCGGGGCCACAAAATCAATGTTCTTCGTCGAGGGCTCGAGGCGAACAGAGCAGGGAGTGGCCATAAAATTATTGTCTTCTGTTGTGCGCTCTCTCCGCCAGACTATGAATGAGCAGTTTCCTGCTCGGCACTCTTCAGGGAAGCTCACAAAAACCAGTTGTTTGGGGTTTTCACCGTCGCTGAATATGCCCTGATGGACCTCGAAGATACAGTCAAGATCACCTATGGATTCCATGGTAATGGGTAGTGTTACGATGATTGGATCTGGTCTGTTTCTTTCCGGAATAGTCTTTAGCGAGTGGATGGGAGAAATGTTAGAGTCGTTGAGGTTGAGTTACCCTTTTTCTAGATATTTATACAAGTTGTTAAGAAACCTTTCATTATAGTAGATTAAGAGTTGGATCGTACAAGAACAATGGTGCATCTCACGAAACAGCCATTCTTAGTTGAGTTCATTCACCAGTACTCCTCCATAGGCGAGAAAGGGTCATTGTATGCTGAAAGGAACAATATTGAAATTTCATGCAAACAAAAGTGAGAATGAGTGGCTTTTCTGTTCACGATTGACGTGCCTGTTGAACATATGAATCATTGTGTGCACTCCTTTTCAGTTTCATAATTAAAATTAAGAATACCTCTTAATCTCCAATGACTATCTTCAATCTTTGTCACCACACCCTCTTGATATCTTGACTAGCTCGATAAAGCAAGCTGTGACCTCTGAGGATGACAATGACACAAGAATTCAAAGCCATTCTTTTCTTAATAGTCTACCCACAACAGCTTCGATCTTGCTTTCTGAAATAGATATCACAGAACGCACATTTAAAGATATAAGCAAAAGGCGAGAAAAATTAGTTTGGAAATATGAAAAAGATGCTATTGTTCAGTGAGAGCGAATAGTCTCCCCCCATGCTCCTTGAAGGCGTGGTGGGTCATTCTTGGGAACTTAAGCCAACAGGGACAATAGCACTCGAATAGTATTATGCGCCGTGCCTTATTATGCCTTTCGATCAATTGACTCTGCCTTGCCACATCAATCGTGAGGGCCCCCGGCTTTCAACGTGCTAAATGGATAATGAACAACCTACATGCCATCATATGATTATTATCTTCAGAGATGCAAACTAGCACAATCGTAGTTCTCCCTGCGAAGAGATCAGAAACTAAATAAGAGAGGCCTTCACGCTCTCCAAAGCCTGCTTAAAATTGCGAAGCCTGCTAACCACCCCCAGTTCCTCTAGAGAAATGACATGCCCGGGCTCTATTCGGTGCCAATCAGGAAACTCTTCACTCCATCTCAACTGCGCTGCAATTTCCAAGCCACCGACCCCCCAAATCGTCTCTATCGTGCTGTCAGGGACACCGACGTAGACGGCTCTTAACCCCGAAACCCTCTCCCAGACTCGAACTGCATCCGAAATCTTGATGTAGTCGGTAATGACGATGGCAACTTTGTTGAAGGTTTTTGCACCAGCGTCCAAGATGCCCTCTACCACGATACCGACGTTATGTTGAACGTCGCCAGCAATAGGAAGAATGGCATCTTCTTTGCTGGGCTGGATCCAAATGTACGCCCCTGATTGGTTCTAATATCAAGACACGATATGAATTAGCTTGACTTGTATATTATTTGAAAGTATTCTATGAACATGATGTTTCTCTTTAACGGAAATTGAACATACCACAGGGGTCAGCTTCATCAACGGGCTAAAGGCCATGTTGGACGGATACCATCCGACCCAAATCCGAGTCATCTTGGCGGCCAAGCTCGGAAGCTTCCCTTGAATGTGCTGATAGGCCTCATGCTTGAAGTCAAAGTGTGGAACCGGTAGTCTACCGTGAGACGAAATTTTAGCGGGAGGCAGTGAGCTCATAATATAATGTTTGAGAGTTGGTATCTTTGATGCCGCATTGGCAATGTTGATCTGCTGCTGTTTCTCAATTTGGCCAGCGACACACTGGCCCCTTTGCATCACAATATTCCTACTCGCAACTGTTAACAACCATACATCATGAGTGATGGATTGTTTTCAGTACCAATCAAAATTTGTAAGAGCAAAAACTGCCGTTGTTCCCTACATGACAGTCTTTAGTTGGGTTGTTATGAGTTCAATTTGTACCACGCTCACCTCAAATGCTTTAATGAGAGAAGCTTCATTGTCAGCATCTCCTGTGATCACCTCAACGCCCTATATGATATATCCCATTAGTGTTTGGAAGTTGGTGGTCCCTCGAACTGTGTCTGATTCTCACCATTGCAATGAGCTTCCTAGCAGCATCGCTCTCTGGATTCCTTGTAACGGCGCGGACTTTCCAGCTTGGGTTTCCATGTAGGGCGGCCACTACAGAGCCTCCCTGAGTTCCAGTGGCACCTAGGACAGTGATTACCGACATGAGTGCTCGTAGGTGGACACAAGATGCAAACGAGAGTGGAAGCAATTACAACATCGTAATATCTCACTGCTATTCTAGATCAAACTGACATTTTATACTCTTCTGCTACGCCAAGACTTGATCCCATTGACAGCTACCAATCACCTGGATCGTGACATTCCAAAACTACCGCGCGCAGGACGAATTCAGTAATTGACATCAATTCCAAATCAATAGACTCTAAATGCGGGGTTTAGAGAATAGCGAGAATTACGTGGAAGATCGCGTCTCAGGCGATTCCGGTTACTACCCTCTCCAGATCTAATAAGGCATACTGATGTGTAATGCGTGTCGGTCTCGGCCTCGGCATTATGTAGAGTGCCGAGCTCGCTCCAATATGAACACAAGAGTATAACCACGAGAAACTATTAGCTCATATCAAATGGAACTAACTGAACCATATTTAGGCAGACCCAGCTGGCTCGCCGGAGCTCACGCCATTTGTGAATTGCCGACTTGAGCCAAGATAAACACCAGACAGCACCAGCGTCACGCCCAGGTGATGATTTGCCTATATTCTTTTCCAATCTTATTCTACCTATAATATGTAAATATAACCCTAATACCTTAGTAGAATTTTTTATCTAATAGTAAGGTACTTTATAATTAATTTTCAAAGGGTTTTGATAAGCTACTTGGGTATACTACAGTTACTTTGATAGCATCTTCCCACAGAAAAGGCTATTTTATACTAACGATAACACTAACAAATGCGGAGCCTAAAGTGCATTCTCTTTGTTCCGCCGCCTAGGAAAATTTTATCGTAAAATAAACCCCGTGAGACGGATAGTAATTATAGTCTTGCATGAAATACTCTTCCACTTACGACTTTGAACTAATCCAAGGTCTGGCGATTCGCACGCTATGACTCCAAAATTTATGACAGGGACTGTTTGCAGGCAGACTGAAGAAACTTCAACCCTCCTACTCCAACTCCCGTTGTGAGTTACGAAGGAGGCAGACAAGTGCTAGTTGACCAGTCACAAAGTGGCGAACATTGGAGCAGCAAAAATAACTCAAAGCACTAATTGGTGTTTTCATTCTAAACAACTAACTATTTTAAAGTGATAATTCGATCTATATCAAGGAATAGAGATCTTGGCCGTCTTCTTAGATGCCCTTCCTCCGAAGCCCCAACCAATCTGATGAGCAACGTGAAGATTGACCTCCAACTCTTCCGCCCACGCCCACACGAGACCCGGGTTCTTGAGAAACATGCGGCCGGCGGCTATCAAATCTAGTGGCGTATCTTCGGCATCTTGTCCACCTTCAATAAGCTTTTGCGCGATTTCTCCGGTCTTGATACTTCCTACCGCGCTGACGAGCATGGCATCTCCCACTGCCGCCTTGATCTTCTTGGAAAAGGGTGCCTGGTAGCCTGGGCCTCCGATAACCTTTTGGTTTGGGTGGTTACCGCCACTCGAGACATCCAAGACATCGACACCGCGCTGAGCAAAGAGCTTGGCCAGCTTGGCGCTTTCATCCACGGTCCAGCTTGCGCCGCCGTTCCAGTTCGGGTTGGTGTCCAGCCAGTCCGTAGCGCTGATACGAACAAACAGAGGCATATCCTTGGGGATAATCTCTCTAGTCTCCTCGACCAGCTCGAGGGCGAGCCGTACGCGGTTCTCAAAGCTGCCCCCGTATTGATCCGTACGCTTATTCACGGCCGGCGAGAGGAAGCTCGAGACCAGGTACCCGTGAGCGAAATGGAGCTCGATAACATCGAACCCGGCGCGCAGTGCCCGACGGACAGCGGAGGCATTGTCGCGCTTGAACTGGGCAATTTCGTCCAATGTCAGAGCGCGTGGCTTAGGGAAATGCTCATTGAACGCCTCATCGCTCGGCCCAACCACATCGTTCGGCCAGCCGTTGACAGCTTCAGTGGCAGTAGCACCAGAGCTGAGCCAGGGAGCGACTGTGGACGCTTTTCGTCCAGCGTGGGCAAGTTGAATACCAATAAGGCCATTTTGGCTGTGCGCAAAGTCGACATGCTTCTTCAACGTATCCACGTGAGCATCGAGCCAAATACCAGAGTCTTCTGGGGTAATACGGCCGTTGGCTTGCACAGAAGTGGCCTCAATCATGGTAAGACCGGGCTGTCTTTTGCGTTAGTTTCTATTAATCTCAGAGCAGAGTCAAAAAACAATGCTACTTACACCTCGTTGGGCAATGCCTCCGTAATGGGTAATGTGCCAAGGCGTATGGAAGCCCTCGTGCGCGCTGTACTGGCACATGGGACTGACCCAAATACGGTTCGGCAACGTGACGCCACGGATCTTGAGCGGCGTGAACAGCTTAGGGATCGGCTTGCCTGATGGCTGGACATCGGTCGGTGTGCCAGCGGGAGGGTCTTGTTCCGGGGTGAAGAAGGGGGCATTCTTGGCCGCAGTGTTCGGGATTGGTGCAGAGCATTTCACATTCTTCTCAGGGGCAGGTGTTCCCGCTCTGGACACCGTGATGCCGTGATGAGGGTGACAAATGCGCTGAGTGAGGTATGCCGCCATTTTTGGAAAGGTTGCTGGATTGTAAGATGAAACAGTTGTGTGTTGGATATATCTTTGAATCAAAGAGATTGTTGATGATGTGAAGATAAAATCCTGGCTGGTCCTTTGAGATCTATTTAAGCAAAAACTGTCTAGTAATGGAGTTTGGATTTCTCAGCTATTGGGATTTGTAACAACATGGACTATGCATGACGCAAAACTTGCTTCAGCCCAATGAACTTGCCATGGCGTCATATCAGTGAAGGCTTATTCGACGGGGATCGTTCAACTTTTGGGTTAAACTGTGGTCTACGAAAACTCAATGGCACATTCCCCAGATATAGAAGTAAGGTTGGCGGAATCCAGCTTCGGCACTATCGGTAGTTTCGGAGTTGGATGCCGGAGCGCAAACCGACTGGCCCAAGCAGAGGTAGAAAACTTCTATGGTGTCTCCAGAGCTCGGCTGAGCCCCGATAACTCCCCGATGTGCTTTTCCCCTCTTCATTGCGTCGGCAAAGTCGGTCTTCCTCCGGACTTACCGAGGTTGAGTGGGTCTTCGCCGGAGCCATCGGTAAGACCTCAACCTTCCAACTCTTCATGTCCCTCCCCCTTGGTTTTTGGCATTTATAATGTAGCATGGGTGACATCTAGTCCCCGAAATGGATAACCAAAGAGATGATCCAAACTCGTCTTTATCCCAGACTCGCAGCGCTAGCTCATCCCTGCATGACCAGAATGACGACCGCAGGGTGACTACTCGTGGCGCAGGCCGTCGCCTACGTGCCCCAACAGCGTGTCAAGTTTGTAGGGCTCGCAAAGTCAAGTGTACCAATGAGAGGCCGTCTTGCGTCGGGTGTGTTAGGCTCGGTTGTGAGTGTCGATATCCTGAGCCTGCTAAGTACATGCAACCAAGGTATGTCACAAATTGACTCCCGTTGCTTCAACGGCCCAGCAGCTAAATCTGACATCTCTTCAGTCCCAAGGAAGGCAACTCCAATTCAGAAGTCATAGAAACCCTGAATGAGATCTTGAATCGCCTACCTCCTGCAACTGAGTCGCGACATGAGAGATGTACAGGTGACTCTGTAGCCTTCAATGCTCTCTCATTCGCGGCTGTAGACCATGTTTTCGAATGGCCGACATTCGCTGCCGACAACTCACTTCACCCAACGCCCTTCAACCTATTATCGATCTATAAAGTCCAAGAGCTTCATTCAGGTGCCAGCAGCACCGTCGGAGTGCCGGGCTTACAACCCGGGGAGGTTACTACGCTGTTGACGAGGTTTCTGAGAATGGTTCACACCATGAATCCTATATTGGATTGCACCACTCTAATGAGCCATGGGAGGATTGTTGCTGAGCTAGGTCCGCAGTGGGATTCCCGGACCTGTCTTGTGGTAAGTCCGTCTTAGGTTCCAGGTTATTGCATCTCTTAGTATCTACATACCAGAAGATTACTGATACAACAATGATAAGCTTATCACCGCAGCTCTGGGAGCCTTGGCTCAGCCATACACCTCCTTTCCGGACACAAAGGAGACGCTTTCCAATTCGTCTTCTATGGAAGATGGGGCCCAGTATCGTCAGCGGGCAGAGGCTTATTACCAGTTCGCCCGAAGACGATTTGGTATACTAGGCATGGGCCTCACAGCATGCCAGTGTCACTACCTTTCAGGCATTTACCTATTGCACACTCTACGTCCGATTGAAGCATGGCAAGCTTTCTTCCAAGCCTCATCTCTCTACGCTGTGTATCTCAAAAACCAGGCGACGCTTCGTACAGTCAGGGATACAGCCATGCTTGGTGACCAGATGATGACTGATGAGCAATCTCTTCCCGATGATTTAGAGCATGATCTCCAACAACGGCTATACTGGAGCTGTATCCAGTCCGAAAGGTGAACTGTGCTCTACCTTGGTTTTTCTTTTATGTGACCAACAGCTGCACTACTAACACGGACACTTTTTGTAGTGAATTATGCGCTGAAGTAAACCTACCGAGGTCGTCCCTTCATGACATCCACTACCCTTACCAGTTTCCTTCCCCGCCGACTCCAAGAAACGTGGACGGCTTAGATGAAAGTCTGCAACATGTTACGCCACCATCATCCAATAACACTACGGCCACTATATCCTCATCGACGACACCCGGCCATTACAGTGAGACACAGGACTTCAAAGAACTTCACGAGTGGTCATGGTACAACTATTTGTCTGGAATATCGCTATTCAAACTCTCAGGCCGCGTCAATCAAACCTTTTACTCCAGGCCTCCCTCTTCATGGGCAACCATGAACCTGCTCGACATGATCAACACCGCATACGAATTCGAAAAGCAGATCGAACAGTGGAAGCTGACACTGCCTCGGGCCATCTCCTGCTTTCGCACCACACTGGATATTACCGCTGTGACCGAGCTCCAACTAGCTGCCTGGCTCCGGTCCGCCAACATTCGACTTCGCATCTACCGCCCATTCCTCTATCGCCTCACCTGCAAGATAGCCGAGGACTGGCCTCTTATTGACCCAATGCGCCATTTGGCGGGAAAAGCGGTCGAATTATGCCTCGAGCCGCTCTTCGACCTGGGATTGAGACATCGAAATGCCGAGTCCTGGTTTAGGTGCCGCGAGTCCGCTTGTCGTGCTTTGCTTCTCATCTGCGCTGGGAAAAACGGACTTCTACGCCGGATGGGATTGGAGCACCGCGCGAGCGAGACATTGCAGCAGTGCATTTCACACTTGCGCTATTGGGAAAGAGAAGCAGATGATGTCAGGCTGGCTCGCCAAACCCTTGAGACGATGATATAGAGGGGAGATTCGAGCGCTGCATGATTGAAAAAGAAAGATTCAGCCTACAATTTAGATAGCTTGCTTTCTCTTGAATCTTTGGGTTCGGTAGAAGAAATGAGGATATATATCTTTGTGGTCTCTTCAGTCCTTGATCCAGGGGGGGCGTCGCTAATCCAATCCGACTAAAAACTGCGGAAGGCTCCAGTTCCTGTTTCTCTATCCACTGCTTCAATTTCCACCGAGTTCTGGAATACAAAAGACCAATTAACGAGATAAGACTGAGTCTGAATATTCGCGGATGAGCCGTGTGTCATAATAACCACACAGAAGGACCGTGGTTTTTGGGTGTACACTGAAGGCTAAATTCACTATAACTGATTTGGCTAATGGCTACGTTGTGAAGTTTTTGACGGATGGATGCGTATACGCGTAAGACGCTATCCGAGGTTGAGTTCTCGAGCCTTGGTTGCTCGGGGTCTCCTCATTCATATGATACGGCGTAGTAAGCCATTGCTTCCTTTAAGATGATACCTGGACAATATCATTCCACGCATGTCATCAATGTTAACGTGTTGTAAGCTAGCTGTGCACTTGGTTACTTCTCAACCTGATGTCCTGTTCGTATGCCTGGACAACCCTCCATGCGTGAGGACCAAATTAGTGCTTAATTGGTAGCACTAAGATTGCGAATACAATTGTTTTCCCCATGGAAAGGGGCTCCAATAAGTTTCCAGGTATACTTAGCAAACGACATCCATTCGCAATCATGACCGGTACATCCAACCCGACACGAGACACACAGTGCCCAAAAATTCTCTGGCGAAGCGATAGTTGCAAGCTGATCAGCAGTCATGCGAAATGCTGAAGCCTTGCCCCCTGTGAGCAAGTCCAACAGAGTTCCAGGACTCGTGGCCTCTGCTGCTTTTGAATGAACCCCATCGGCCCAGACGCGATTACATTCACAACTACCGTTCCCAATCCAATTTGGTGATATTGAAGTGGGAATACCCGCCTCCCCAAGGCTGTATGTTAGCCTCCGACACGACTGACGCATTTGGCATGTGGAAGACAGTTCCGGCGCCAGAAAGCTCGCCGTTTCATTGTCGTAGTCCCGTCGCCGACTTGAAATTTCGTTACCGTTCTCGGCTATCCATCTCAGGCGGAAAAGCCCGTCCAACGTTGAATCAGTCGGCTTTTCTCCAAACAATTCATCTAGTTGCGTAGCCATGGCTGGACGAATTGCGAATCGGCGACCAGCGCGACGCTCCAAATATCGATCCTGTATCTGGACAAAGAGGAAGCCAGAGCGTCCAAAGTGAACTATAGCGTCCGGAGCACCACTATCTACGAGGTCGTCAATGAGGTCCAGATATACCGAGTGATATTCTGTTCGACGCTCCCGCTCCAGTTTTCGCATTTGTTCCCCAGCCTGGTTTGTCCCCACATCAGTGGGAATGTGGTTATCCTGCTCGTACACCCGTAGGCCTGACTTAGCCAAGTCCATTGAGATGGCATCACATATCGCGCTGTCAACTAGCCACGTGGCCGTCAAGGGCCCAGAGGCAGTTACACGTCCAATGACAATGGCTGCGCCGTAGGTGTTTGCCGTATATGTTCTGTACACCACGCTATCCCACACTGCGCGTGTCTGGCTAAGTTGGGTATGCAAGCCAATGTGGCCCAAGCCATTCTCAAAGTCGACCTTCTCGGCGTACTGGAACAAGTATTGACGCAAAAGTGAAAGCAAAACATGTATTCCATCAGCACCCCAATGCTCTTGATCCATCACCTGCATCAGATCGCGACATGTCCTTCCATACATGCTAAAGCGGCCGTGCACAACGTCCAAGGGCGGAATGCATAGGTCGTCCACAATGCTCGTCAACGCCACGTAATGTAGGCCAACCGGACTGGCGGAGTAGTCTGCACCACACCAGTTCGCCATCCACTGAATAGTATCTCGACAGATACTACGAGTCAGCTGGTCCGCTGACGCATCTCTCTTCTTGGTCCAGTCCGTATAGTCACAATGCAGGAGGCCGCCACACTGGCGGGCTACGTCTGCCTTCTTTAAGACAGCCTCGAGAAGCGGCCACGTATTGACTTCATGGATCCGAGATACACCGGATTCGTAGCCACTACCACCCATCAGGTTGTACAAATGAGCGGTTTGCTTGTTGTACCTCGAGCGCGCTGTTCGTGCGGGCGCTGCTGGAGGATCAGACCTGGGGTAGTGTAGGAAGGTGCAAGATTGGTTTTTGTCGCAGGAACGCCCGCACCACATGATGTGACTTTTCTGCAGAAGCTCGTAATTGCTTTGAGAAGTGGCCAGCGTATCAAAGGCATCCAAGGCAGAGCCCGTATAGTCAAGATTTGCCGGTGCGACCGGACTGACTCGAAACTTTGTGCTCATTTTTCGATATATATAACAAAGACACTCGTGAAACAAAAAGTAGCATGTATTGATATCAGATTGAACTTCAACGAGAAGCTATTGAGTCTCTATTTATACACATCCGTAAACGACTGGAGTGCCATTGGGCGTCATAAGGTCGTCATGATGCCCTGTTGCCAGCTTCAATCTTGCATAGTGATGCTAGGAGATGGAGAATTGGACTCACAAAGGGCCCGGCAGGCAAGAGGACTGAGACAAGAGACCAAGAAACTCCGCACAACAATAACGGAATAGGCGAGTTGCATTAAGGGGATGATGTCTTCCTGGATACGGTGAGTACTCTACACACTCCAAGGCAATAGCCCCACGCTAAAAACATGTCAGACACGTCGCATGTTGGGCAACCACCACCGCAGTCTTCTCACGGAGATGGTTCCATTCCTGAGACGCTCGCTTTTTGTAGCGGTGACACCGTTACGGCAGAAGGTTTGAGTGTAAATGGGTTAGAAATACCTTTCCAGAGCTGACAGCTGTATGACGGGCGCTTAAGTAACAGTTCTCGATCACAATGTCGTCTTGTGTCCTCTTTTAGTCGTAGTTGGAGATGATGTATACAATAATCATATGCCTAGAAACTTCTGGTCGATGTCACGGCTATTAGGTTGACATGGTCCGAGACTTGACCGCTCGGGAGACAAAAGGACCTGATAGACCAGGATAGGGCACCCGTTCCGATGAGAAAACCCTCAAAAAGACATTCGTACTGAGTCCTTACCTCACCCACAACTTTCATTTGTCCTTCCCGAGTCTCTAGCGTCCCGTTCTGCATAGAAATCAACCACCTCGTCTTACTAGATGACGAAACAAGGAGGCCTCCCAGGAGGGGAGATGGAAAGGGGAAGGGATAAGAGGGATTGACCGGTCTGACGTAGCTATAGAACTGAGATTCTTCTACGCTAAGGTGCCTAAGAGCGTAATGGGAAAGGGCGTGACGGGAGGGATTGACCGGTCTAACGTAGCTATAGAACTAAGATATTACGCTTAGGTTCCTAAGAGCCAAGTGGTGACATAATAGATAAGACACCAAACTAGTACATCAAGCGTCTACAGCAGAAGAGGTTCTATGTTTTTACCTACTATATTCCCAGCTAAAACCTATATAAGTAATTTCAGAAAAAGACTTCTATAGAAATTCAAAGGCTACAGAAAATACTGACATTTTCCCCCACGATATCTGAGTATTTCTGGCCACAGGATATAGCTAGAAAGAGGGCTAAGAATTTGAGTGTCATCTGCTGTAACGCCCACTTGAGAGCGAGATCCCCATCCACCCACTCAAGGTTACCCCGGCTGTTACGGAGGTATTGATTTAAGTCGATGACGCTGATGACTGAATCACCCTCATAGAAGATGCTCTTCAAATATATTGTAGAGAGAGTTTTATCTTCACTCCCTTGCTCTTTCTTGCCTGTACTTCTACGTTCATCGAAGCCTTAAGCTTTCTCCTGCCTCAAACTTAAGCAATGCCACGCAGGTTCGGCTTGGTAGGCCAGGCAACCATTTAATGGTTGAGACGAACCTTCTTCCATGTCTTATTGAGCCCTGGGATACTGGGTCCTTGGTCGAAATCTATCCCTTTTGTGGTAGTTGTCTTGGTTAGCTTGCCATTCTAGACTTCTCGGTATACTTCCACTCGGGAAAGGATCGTGGTTATCAAGGAAGCTTCATCTCAGCCTGCATTACCAAATATCGCAGGGCTGATAGGAAAGAGGGTTAGACTGCATCGAAAGCAGGACAATGCGTGATGGCTATCGGACTGGGAGGTCTTGCTACAAATCCCACGAGTAAAGGCATGGGATCTGTAGCACTTGTACTCAAGTAGATCGAGATCAACGACCCTACAGAAAGAAAAGCTCAGTCGCAAAATTTATCACAGATAACACTAGCGAAGTCTACTACATTCATGCAAGAGTTCTTCGATTTGGATATGTAACTAAGCGATACAGTCAGGCATACGCGATTTGAAGTGATTAGATCGCAGCCACATGATCCAGCACGACAACACAAACCCCAATGAAAACCAATGCGTCGAATGTCAAGACTCCCCTGTTTCCATCTCTACCTCTTAGGAGCCTATCAGATACGCGTCTCTAGCCAATAACGATGTCAAGTTCAAGGTTGTGACCCTCGTGGACCCTGTATTGGACGGAAATGGTGCGATGATCGATATTGAGAATCGACTGGCTGGTGTACTGAGCCTTATAAGAGTAGCACCTCTTAGTGTGAACGCTGTTATAGTACTCGGGCAGGGTACTGATACAGGTAACGTTATTAGCCAGGCCGGTGATCACATCAACCCAAGGCTTGTAGTTATAGATACCGAGGGTGATAAAGAAGGCCTCCTTGCCTTGCTCGGTTATAAAGCGGAGTATGCTGGAGGTGCCACTGCCGCCTATAGTGGGGGTGAGGGCGCCGTCCTGGTCAGTCTAGGTGCTGCTGTTAGCGAAGTGCTAAACTCCCTTCTCCACGATACGAAAGTAGGCGTTGGCATTGATCTGGTAGACGCGGGTCTTGATCAAGTAAGATATGCTTGCGGTGCGTGTGTAGGTAAGGATAAAGTGTAATGGATGGGGAGAAAGTTTGAGTTCTTAGGCTATTGTGAGAGTTGAGAGTGCTTGTTGGATGGATAGAAGAGAAGCAAGAATCACCGTGGAGGACCTTCCCATTCATAGATATTGTCCTTCAAAGTATTGCTTCTCATTGATGAGAGTCTTTGGAGGATTGAGATGTTCATGTCATCCATCTGGCAAGTAGATATTCCCAGCCCACAGAATGAGCTGCATACAACCAAAGTAGGACTGCAAACCCATTTTGGGTTTGTTCAGCAGCTCCGCTTGCCCCGGATCACGAACAAATATTGGTGTTGAGCCCAATTATAACAGACCATAAGCAATGCCAACTAATCGCTAAAGTCGATGGATGCAACGTCGTAACCTCAAGAGCCGAAATCTCACCAAGAGGGGCAGACTCAGCTAAGTCGTCGTTCATGCCGCCCCTACGGGGGGCCTCGTAACCTCAACCCGCCCTTCGGCGGTGTTAAACGATTGAGAAGAATCATGATCATGATGGCTCCCCGGATGCTATCCCGCTAATCAAGGGTCGGGCCTTTAGCCGCCGCTAGTAGCGGCTGAAGAGTAAACTGCTTTGCTTGCCTTGTCCGTGCTGTTGTGACGAACACGGGGAAGCCCTCGCCTGCGCCCCATAGTGACCTTCTTTGGATAACATACACTATTGGACCTGACCTCTCACTATTGAGTCTTGAGTCTGGACTGGCTGCTCCCTCCGTTCCGCCTGCTGTACAAGAATCCATTGAAGCTTAGTGCGTGAGCGGGTTGGCCCAGCCCCCTGCGAGGAACATCCAATAAGGGCTTGTTGCTAGTGCAAATATTATTGCGAAGCGATGTGACAGGAGAACCATGAACGGTGGAAAATCACTAGCCTATCCTGTATGTCTTGTAAATAGATCACTGCCGGGGCTTAGAATCAATATCCACCCTGTTCTGGATTCAATAGTTCAGACTCAGCTCAGCAAGCGCCAAGGTCGGTGGCCAGCTGAATCACAGCGAGAGACCTTCTCCCTAAGTGAAATTGACTGGTTATTGCAGCTTGGGTGGCAAGAAAAGCCTAGACTCAAGTATGTGCAGCTCTTGTTGGGGACAGGTTGCGGTTACTGAGCACATGGATGACGGAGAGAGCGAGCTTTGTTGCAAGGGCGCTGTGTGATTCTGGACCAAGTCCTAGGACATTTGTTTGATCCGATGACGACCAAAGTTAATACATAAAGGCCTCTACCTCTTCTCGCTAGTACTTTATGATCTCGACTGATTATCCTCTCACCCCTGCTCTCCATCTCGCTATCCTATTCCCTTTGCATTCCTGCTTGCTATCTTGCTCACTTCTCGCCATGAATAACAGCATGAAAATCGAGCCTGGCTCAGAGGGCCAACCCCAGCCCCCGCACATGGTATTCTACTTGAATCAGAGCCAGGTAGAAGACGATCCACAAGAATGGATCATTTGCGTCCCCGGCTGAGATTGCGAGGTCAAAGTCAGAAGTCGGGGTAATTTTGCACGCCAACCTCGAGCTTTGGAAATACGGATCGATGATCAAGACCCCGACACCGCTTGAGTTGATTAAAATTGGATGTCACTATGTGAGATCTCACTAGCTTGTATTTGAACAGGGATTCCTGTCTTTGAATGCTCCAGCTTTGAACGTTTTAACTGAACACTTGTCTCTGGCATTGTTGTGTCATTGATATCATCTGCTGAGAACAGAGAGGGGTCTTGCTGATCTTGATTATAGTGGGTGGCATTGGGCTACTTTCTAAGTAGTCGTCTGAGTTGCCTTTCATTTATCCCCTAACACAGGACATCGTCGTTCTGCAGAACACGGCCCGGGAAACGATGACCGAGAACCCCTGTTCTGTAAGCAGGGTTTTCGGTCCAGTCGGGATGTCCTAGGGTTGTCTTTGAACTCATGTCACTGACCTGCCGGCATAGAAAGCATGATTGTTGTTAGTTCGCAATCCCTACATTGGCTTGAGTGCACCGGCATTGAATTTTCACAACTAGTATTTTTCAAAGATGCCCTGAACGACTATATAGGATGTGTATTCCTTGATGTGGTGTATTCCAACACATCTCGCAATAAGTCGAGGCCCTATGTTTTTCGTAGATACGACTAGTCCCTTTCAGCCTCTCTTCCAAGATGATCACAGGCTTGGCGAATCATTTGTTCTGCATGCAAACTGCCATGTCGGTGCCCCCTAATAAATTCCAATCAGTGCGGGTATTCACCAGAACAACTCAGGAGGGGGCAACTTGGGTGGCGAATGAGGGGCGATATCAATTTATGCCACAATTGTGTTAACCAATCCCGTCGTCAACTTGCTGTTGGGAAATCTACGCTCGCCTCCAAGTTTTAAGGGGTAATGAGCCCCCTAAAACACGAGAATCAATAAACTTATCTGTGCGAGGCGAGACTAGCCCCTTAGAATCATAGATATACTACACACAGGCACCAGTCGGTCTTGAAGCGAAATACACGATGAGATTTATATTTTCCCAAGTAAGTCGCTTGCACTCCGTAGGTTAGGTGCTCTCAGCTTCCTTTTAGCTCCAAGAGGCGTCAATTTACTTGCTGTTCATCGAAACCCCTGTAAATCTACAGCCGGCTAATTTCTACCCCTGATGAGCGTGATGTAACAAGTATTTTGAGCAAGAATGACATTCCAGCTTCTCGACTTCCCATTTTAATCTCGGATTCAATTAAGTGTCTGATATGAGTCCTGAGTAGCAGAATGGTGTGTTTGCAATGCGCCTCAAACATTCATTGGCCATTGTTCCTCTTCAAGCTATGAGCTTCTTGTGCACAGCCCCGGGCTAGTGACAAGAACAATCTCCTACAAATCCATACGATTGACTAGCTTACTGTTTCATGGGGTGGAAAAAGGAAGTACAACGTTACTAATTCCATAATGCCAGCAAAGAGGAAAGGATTGTGCAGGTGGAGAGAAGGTGGGGGCTATGCATACTCACACGAGGAGCAATTAATACTCCTAAGGGCCAATTTTCCTTCGTCGTGGTTCGCACACTCGTTCTTCCTCTTCAAAGGATGTCTTGGCCACTTTGTATACCTGTCCAGACTCCTGATCGCTTGGTTTCCATGCCATCAAACCTGGAGAAAATTTCCCAACACCTAGGCCCTAAAGTTTCCCCGCCCCCCTTTCCTCGCGGCAAGGCCTGAAACTTTGGTACCTAGGGCTCTGCCCGTAACAGATAACTATCCGATGCTCGTTCATGTTTCTCCTTTGAATTGGCTATGCGAACTTTCCTAAAGGGGTGGACTATCTAACATTTTCTAGGAGGCAGTGCCGCGCTAGGTGCTACCATTTGCGTTTCTCTTGCTAATTCCTCTATTCCCCATCTTCAGAGAACACGAGTCGAAAATCAAACCGCGAAGTTGCGTTCGACTTGTTCCCCCTTTGCGTCGGAATCACGAGCGAGTTGAAATCGAGAAGTCCCCGATACGAGAACCGCGACCACCGAAACGACAGTCTCGTAAGACATCTAGACTCCGCCGCGTTGAGCGAAATACGGATATGAGGGTAAAGAGATATCCAGTTCTGATTTCACACAATCCTTGGATGCTACTGAAAGTGGCGCCATGGGGACCCGTTCGTGTGTTGGAAATTTGCTGTTTTTACCCCTGACCGATCAGAATGACGCAAAAACAGGAGACGCGTCGATTTGTTCTGGGGTCAATCACATTAAAGAGTAGACGAAGTGTGGAGTAGGAGAAGCGTAGAAAGTTTAGGACATTGCTCTGGTTCGAACGTATGTGACAGGTCAAAATGATTTGGGCAGCCATGCATCGAGCTACTCCCGGCAGTATGGGTTTCCTCACAGCCCACACAAGGGTTCTGGTCCAAATACCATCTCCTTTCTGAGTATGAGTGGACACTGATAGGTAGTTAGTGCGGACGTAAGGCGTAATAATAAGTTTGTGGCAGTTCTTTTTCAGTGTTCTCCTGGCCTCGCCTGCCGCCTTGGTCATTCTTTGGCGGCTATGAAAACGGTTATTAGGTCTTGCCAACAGACCAATCCTTCTGGCAGGCTTTAGAGTACGACTAAAATAGTAATCAAGCCTGGATCTCCTGTTAGGGTCCGCTGCCACCCGCACTACTCCTTTGTTCCGCTAGGGGCAAGCTTGTACGGTTCTGTGGGATATCCAACCCCAACCTTGAAACCGGTAAGGCTGCAGACGCCTGCATACTTTTAAAACAATATCCGAGACCCGCAGATCGATCTACCGTTCCCCCACATCTCAATGCCAGCAAATTTCAACGTCACTGCATCCAGCTCTTGGAAGTATTGGTCTGGAGATGCGCGATAACTGTGCCCAAAAGTTAGTAATTGGTGCACGGATGGTCTCGTAGAAATGACATGTATTGCCTCAAATAATTGATGGTTTGTCATAGTATATTTTACTGTTTCATAATCTGACAGCATCCATCAGTAGGATCTGAATCTATCACAGAATTGAATCAAGCACTAACAAAATCAACAACAACGTTGCCAATGTATTGCTCTGTCCGTAATTGAAATACAAACAAATTGAAGCTATTTATCTATGATATGATCACTGTTCAATAAAATGTTACTAAGAGCTGATGGTTCAGACGCCAGGAACTAGAGGCTTTCCTGTTTATATTCATGCTTGAATTTTAGGTGGGCCACAATACGATTCCAAGCATACAAAAGTATTAGGAAATTAGGAAACTAGGAAATATTTGATTACAAAATATTGATTTATTTTCTGACAGATAACACCCTGCTTTGAGTGCATGTGTTCTTGAGGCTCCGAAGAGAGGTGTGCGTGAGACATCTGCAACGTTTATTTGAGACTTTTTAGAGGGCCCTGCGGCGCTCTGGGATACAGAGAGGGTGGCATGTACCCACGTAAACCAAGTGAAGCTTCCACAAAGTCGGCTCGAGTGGATTAATCTAACGCTTCTTTACTACAGGACTCTCCATAGCGGGTGGGCTGCATCAAGAACGGAACTTAATTCAATGTTGCGTGGCTTTACGTCTTACCAGCTACGTGCCGCATGAAGAGCCTTACCTATGTTCTCTTTTCTCTCCGTTTTCTCTCCGTTTTCTCTCCGTATTCCCGTCATCTTGATCTGGCTCAAGGGCAATAGCCCGTGCACTCTCATGAATCAAGTATCACATTATATGCGGACACTATGGGGTGGGGGAAAAGGCTCTTGTCCCGCCCACTCCTCACCGACTTTTTACATAGCACTACTACGGAGACCGTCGCCCTAAGGATGTGCCCTTCGTATAAAGTCTATGAGGATGATTTGAGGAGCTTGGCCGGACTAGACCTCCCTGCCTTGATCCACCCGAAAGCAGAGCTAAAGTAACTAGTGTGGGCGGCAGCGTTGTGGCATAACTCCAAACGCTGTACCTGAATCTATTACGAGCCATCGAGTGAGATGCATGGGGTACCTGGGTATGTGACGCAACTGCATGTCTCAGTTCTCGGTTCTCGGAAAAGAGGTAAGCACTCCCTAGAGTTGGTAGAAAGCGGCGTGTTTCAGGACCACGATTCTTTCATCAAGAAGCTAGTTCACCATTTCGTATGATATGTAGGTAAAATGTCCCCAAAGGAAAACACATACGCGGCAGATAGTGCAAGTAGGAGCCTGGTGCTCTGATATCTTCTCTCTCTAGGGAGAGTGGGTTATGTACTGTGCTGCCCTTGGCCTGTTGCGAGACCCGGCGGCGTAGACATGCCACTAATCACTCGACACCCCAGGTCATGCAGCGGAGACAGGTTAAATGGAGATATTCGGACCCTTTAGCTAGATCTAGCTGCATGTACGTATGTGAAGCTACAGCAGCAGCTAGATCGTGGTCTACATACGCAGGTACGGGCGCCCGGGTGCCTGGATGTCTTCGAATTGGCGCCGGTTCGCATGCATCCGAGGCTCTGGCTGCTATCAATATGAGTTTCATTTCGTTTACTTTTTCAAGCCAAGCAGGGTTCCTTAATAAAATTAGTATTTAGTGCGGTGGAAGACCGTGAGTGGTTTTCTTGTGGGTTGGCGGGGGGAGAATTTCCAAACCGCGTCGATGCAAAGCAGGATCACAACCCCTTTTTCAATGACTCAACAAACTGAGCGTTTTGTTGTTCGGATCCAACTGAAGGAGGCTAGGAGATTTATCAAGAAATCTACATAAAGGCCCGGCTCAGCCATCTCTGGATTGAATCTATTTTTTACTCATTCACAAAAGACACTCCCATTAAGCTACACTCATACAAGTCTTTCTACCAAAGGCCCTCTGCTAGCCATTTGTTTCTCCCGAATTCCGCGACTACTGGGTGCTACGGACCCTGTAAACACTTATCCGGCAGACCTAAGGAACAAGTTACATTTGATCCTTTTCTTTCCCTACTTACTTCGTTCAAGATGCCGTCCACCTTCACCCGCACGGCACCATCTCAACTCAAGGGTCCGGAATCGGATATTGACAATCCTCCTGACGGCATTGTCCCGAGCCGGAACCCTCGAGGAAAGCTCAATCCAACCGTTTGTGTTGGATCATCCTGAGGGTAGCAACACCACGCTTCTCCCTCGAGCACACATTATCCTCTAGGTATCGCTCCTTGTGCGATATTTGTAAGTCTATAAGATTAACCCTTCATTTGACAGTATTTCTCATAACTAATTCAGCTTCATATCACAGCTCAGAAGGATGAGCGAAGATCGAGTTTGCAGTGAACAATTTATTTTGAAATGGAGGATCAAAGGATAATGGTAAATGGACGGAGGGCTTTTGCCGCAATTATAGTTCTGAAAATAACCCTTCTTTCTGATTTAAATGTATACTAGACTAATAATTTGCTATTTACTGAATATGATATATTGGAGTGGTCTCCACGATGCTCTGGTCCATGAATGGTAATGTGCACTCAATTTACATCCATCCACGGGCTACACCGTCTGAGACAATGCCGTAGATTGGTCATGAAGCATCGGACCAATCAGCACACGTGTTATAAGAAGGACAAAGCAATTATAGCCGTCAGATTGATCAAGATGTGAATTAGAGGGTATAGGATACCTGAAATTCTTCCCGAATATGCACCTTTGGCACTTTCAGGCTGCAATGTGGCGTCAATCCTGTCTCCCACGCGTCATAAAATGTTACCGAAATGCGGCTCTTCAAGGCGACATGCATTTTCACTTCATAGAATGGTGGTCATCTGCATCATCCTGCAGAATAACCAATCCTTCAGACCACCACTACACTACATAGCCATCCGCGTGAGAATAGGAGAAAGTATTTATATCGACGCCAGCCCCGGGCCACGAGCCAGCAAACGGTGGAAGGTCTACAATCTCCAGCAATACGCTACAGTCATAATACATCACGCATATAGTACCTATGTACCTACATCCTCGGAAAGACGCGAACTGAAATGAACCACCGTGAAATGATGACTGATGACGACGAGCTCAAGTCTGTCCCGCTCTCCCTGGCTTCTGTGGAGGAAGGACAAGCTGGGGCCCAGGCACAGGGCCCAAGCGACAGTATGAGACTGGCCCATGTACCCCGAGAAGGAGTGCGTGCTAACCGTTTACCTTAGCTGGCTGTGCTGAATTCCTAGGGACTAAATCCAGTGAGTAAATTGCACGCCCTGGTGTAGTACGTTGACAGCTAATGCGACGCAAGAGTATGCGGGACTGCTCGCTGCAAGCGCCCTGCAAGAGCGGGATAGCGCCTACTTGTCCGTCAGGGCCTTCACGCTCCCTTTTTCGTTTCTCCAGGGTTATTTGGAGAGAGACGTGGAGGAGTGTTGGGAGAAGATACACTGCGCTATTCTCGCTGGGGATGATGCCAGCGTGCCAGGACTGGTCCACGAATTCAAGGACAAGGCATCTTCGTGCCGTAAGTGCCAGTAATCGTCGTTGTTTGGCCTTTGACTCACAATCTACAGTGGATATGGCCAAAAAACGCAAGTTCTTAGCAGGCCTAGGGCGGCAGAAGCCCCGTGATCTCAGGGTCTTCCTCCAGTATTTGACACTGGACAGAACCAGCGATCAGCAGTACCCGCGGGACACAAGTCAGTGGAGAGGCTTAACGGAGCTGGAGGGATTTGATGACTGGGCTCGGTCTATTGTCATGGCCAAGGACTCCAAGATATGCAAATGGCTGGTATGTCTCACAACGGGCTGGACGCGGGCTTGGCATGCTTGATCTAGGCTAATTTGATCCGCAGGCACTGATGGCAAGCAATCAGATGATCGACATCAACGGGAGGCAGAAGCGTCTGGTAAACGCGAGGAAGTTGATTGGCTTTCTTGCTATTGCGGGTGGGCTGGGTGCCAGCATTTTGTTTGGCACGCCTGTTGTTATTCTTGCCTCAGAAGTCTTCCCACGATGGGGGAACATAATCATTGTGGTGGTATGGGTGATCTTGCTCTTGATTTTTCTAATTGCATGGGGTGTCAAGTCTTCTAGCTTGTTTCTATTTGTCTTGGCATACACCACCATGCTGGCCAACGTCAACATGGGGGGTTCCAAGTGAGGCAGAGTTCGGTGAATAGTTGGCAAGGCTCAGACGAGTTACTCCTGCGCCATTGTAAGCTGTTGAGAACTTATGCTATTCGAACTTCACCTAAACTTGCGGGTGGCCTTCCGTCTCAGACTACGTGGCACCGTAGTGAGGTCTGGGCAGTCGAAGCAAAGATGCCTTACGCCGACAGTCAGCCAACAGTGGCGGTGAGAGATTAGTAGATGCCAATAATCAGCCACAGGGTGATGATCATAATCAAAGAGTGTGACAACCAATAAAGGGTATGTGACGAGGAATCCGCAATTAGCTCGTGCATTAGCGGTGCATGAGGAGCTGAAAACCATCCAACAACACCAACAGGCTGACCGGTCGCCTCACTCTCCCGGCCCAGCCACCGACATTAGCTCATCAGAGAGTGAGGAGCCCTTTGGGGTCGGTGGCCAATGCCAAAATTGTGTAATCAAAGTGCTTTCCACTCTTGCAGGCACTTTCGTTTGCTTTTATCTCCCTTGGCTGGCCGAGGGGCTATGCCTTCTTCAGGACCGAGGGCTGAATGGGGTTGGTTCATGTCTCAGTGAGTGACGTGAGAATGTCCCACAGTGGCTGTGACTGGGCATCGGCTCATGTAATTTGGCATTTCCTCTGCTATTTTGCTTTCGTCGGTCGCAACAGTGCATCGGATGATTGCTTGCACTTTCAAAGCATGGACTGATATTGGCATGGGGGGAAGCGTGAACATAGGGCAGTGTCTAACGTTGATGATGTAAGATATATACTTAGGTATGATTTCGATGCATTTATGATATACCAGAGGTGAGACTATGTGTACTAGGGAGCAACATGTACTTGCAATTGACGAAGCCAACTTGGATGATATTACGCTGCTGGCATGTTTGAGGACTGAATTCAATGTTCTTTGAAACGAAGACTTCAATTTGCTGGAGCACACCTTTCCCACTTGAACCAATCTTGCTTATCTGCTCCCCCGACAAAAAAAAAACCGAAATTCACTTTACTTAACTTTGTTCAAAGAGTATCTTAAATATTCCAAGACCACTTATTTTAGACGGCGGGTGTAGATTGTTGTAAATCATAGAAAAAGCTCTCATTGAAACGTCCCGAACTCTAGGGTATGTAGAAAACCAACATTGGCAGAAAATATGAACAGAGACCAGAATTATTATCTACAAATATTTACGAATATTTAGATAAGAAGGTATTAAATAGTATTTTGTGGAAAATTCCGGACTAACCAGCTACGAATATTATCGATCTGAAGGTTACGAGCGAAAACCTGTTCGAAATACAATCAGGCGACCTGCCCATATGTACTTTTGACTTGTCCTGGATACGCTTCTTGTATGTTTATCAACGTGTGCTTGGTGACATAAAAAAGACACATAAGGGGAAAAAAAGGAAAATTGGCTGGTTGGTTGGCTTGATCAATCCTCGCCTAGGCCCTCATCCTATGCTCAACCTGCCACGCGGGTTCGGAAGAGAACGCTCGCATGTGTTAACAATACCAACATGGAGACGTTACTCAGGATGCAAGATCCTTACTCTACCAGGATTTTTGTACAGAGGCGTAATCAAGCAGCAATCAAATACAGGAAAGAAGAAGTTGTTGAGTTCATGTTGGTCTTTATTCCCTCCACACTTGCTAAACAGTGATATTTGATGTGAGATACCTCTCTCCTTGCCGTAATGCAGTCATCAGCCAACGGCTAGTATACTTTTTGATTTCCCCATTATTGTAGCCAGTTATAGTCCTGCTAGTCCCGCATATTGACAGGCCGAGAGGAAGTCACATACACACACAGGCTGTGCCCTTTCAGGTTCGTGTTAATGGTGTGATGAATATTTCGGAGGGCTCAAGTGAGATCTAGGCTGAGAAAAAAGAATGGCAAAGCATACATACTGTGGATGGTAACACGTATCGTCTTCGGCTCGCCTCCAGAGACTACTAGAGCTAAGCACCGCGATATGGGGTGCAAGCTCGTTGAGACAGTGAACAACGTCTCACGAATGTGTTTGGTCAGATCGTGGAGCGCCATCGCAGGTTTCCTTTAGCCAAAGGCTACATCAGAAGGAATTTCTTCTGGGAAGACGCGAAGCTGTAAAGTTGTCTTCCGCGACTGTACCGGACCTATAAAGGCGAAGCTTTGCGCCTGCGGTCGCCTTACCGACTCCAGAAGGCCGGGATTTCAACATCGCTGTTACGAGTCGTTGCACAGCCGTCTTGATCTTCTGACTCTCGTCTGCAATATTCTGATCCAACTTTCGCTGAATCTCTATATTTTCTTTGATTTCCTCTATCTGTTGCTTCAGAATACGTGCGCATCGGCTATCGGATGATGAGAGCTCGTCCTTGAGAAATTGAAGACGTTCGGGAGGAAGGTCCAGCAGCGGCGAGGGAGGGTCAGACAAGGGCGTGAGGATCATATAAAGCGCTGTTAGCCAGACAAGCCATATGGTTGCGTGGACTAGTATAGATAGTGCGTCCATTTTGATGATGCGATGCGAATTTGTTTGATATGTCTGCGACGTGGCTTTTACCTCCACGATGCGAAATGGTTGCAGCCATCTGATATTTCAGCGTACGTCAAGAGGGGCTTAAGGTTCACAATCAGGGCTTGATTGTCGTAATACACGTGATTCAGCTACTTCCAATGTTCTGATGCATCTATATATGAAAGTTGCGACCATCGCGCGTTGCGGCATTAGTTCCCTCTCACGTCACTTAGAGTTCAAGGCGCGGCAACAATGATGATATCGTTCTCCTGGTCTTGAAGTCCGTAAAACTCAATCTTGTGGTTTAAACCTATAACTTTGAGTTTTGCGATTGGCCTTAGATCGGTGCGGGCAGTGCGGTCTGCTGGGAGAATATTTGGGTGTGTCATGATACATCGATCACCGCCACAAGGTAGTTGAAAGAGGGTAGAATAACTAGTGATCTGACGAGCGGCTCGTCCCGACGGCAAGTGAATCATCGGGTATCTTCTATCGCTGTTTTTTTTTTTACCTTGTACTTGAACTCTCATATTTTAATATAATAACTTAATCAGCGAATTCGATACCCTGCGACATTGCTTCAGAAATACTATCATAGAATTTCTCGGAAAATTGTTTAAATTATAAAACCCTAAATAGAAATACATGAAGAATTGAGTACTGTAGTTTCATTGACTGACCTTTCAAAGCTCACTCGTATATCTAGATAGCTGCTAGGAACCAAAAAAATGATAATTCAAAAGCCATAGACTTGGGATACATTAACTGTCGTAGACTCTCAGCCGCCTTCATCTTAAGACGTGGACTGAGCCATGCATAGATACTGGATCGCCTGAACCGCTCCAGGTGTCTCTGCCCAGGCTGGAATATTGTACCGAAGCGCAACACAACACTCAAGATGTGAACCAGGCTGAAACGACGCCCGGATGTTGTCGAAATGCCGGTTTGCCATTGACCTGATCTTGCCCTCGCTCATCATCGACCAGATATGGGGGTTGTAAGCCGTTATTGCGTGGTAAATCCTCCAGACCTCGTTTTTGATTGTTGTGATCATGGTTGCTGTCTCTTCGAAATCAGCCTGAGCAACTCTGTTCTGCGACGCGGCGGAGCTAACGGAAAGCTTCATTCGGATAATATCAATGATTTCAGTGGGTATCACGCCGTGGAAAGCTCGGCTCGCGTTTTGCATGGCTCGCAGATCCAGGAGAACTTTCATCTTGATGAGCAGGACCGCCACCCATTGGTTCAGACTGAAGGAACTCACGGCGTCCCAACTGTCCTCAAGAGGCGCCAAGATATCTTTCCTCCGATAGTCTGGATCGAGGAAGGGCAGGTCCATGCTAGTCCATTGCGAAAGGGGACCATTGGAGGTAGCAAACCACCAGTCCAGGAAGTTATAGGCTTCCTGGTCCATCCCTAGACGTATGTACAGAGCAGGGATTATGTTTGAGATGTATAGCTTGTCGCTGGGATCAAGCCGAATCATGTCTAGACTGTGATCGAGAGCAACCCGGACGACATGGGTGTAGCCCCCAGTAGCTCCGAAGTGATCCAGGAGAAGGTTTACCAGTCTGAGGCGAGTGGATAAGTACGGGTGGGCGCTGCGAAGGGACGGGAAGTACTCCGCCGAGGCATCCAAGGGGTTAACCTCGTCGTCTTCGAACTGGGTGCGGATCTTGCGCTCCTCGTTGTCCAAGGCGATACGTGTGTACTTGATCAAGATACAGGTTGGGTAGTGATGTTGCTTGTGTGCGATTTCGTGGCGACCTCCACAGTAGTCGAGAACTTCACAGCTCACGCAACGGACGAGGCCCGTTTCCGAGGAGCATATGGGACAGGCCTTGGGTCTGAGGCCCGGGGTATTATTTAGGGACAACGGCATGGCCGAATGTGGAGGTGATCGTCTGCTAGAGGCAACGAGCGGTGATGGTTAAGAAGGGAAAATTGTGTTCAATTGAGGGCGTCGATGAGTTGGCTGGTGCTTATGGTGCCGGATCTGGACCGATTAGGCTAATAGCAGGGCAATCACTCAGGTTGGATCATGTGTGTGATTGAGGGGACAACCGGTGTGTACCAATTCAGCTTCCGACCCTCCTGTTTGAAAGCCAGAGGTATTTTCATGTCCCCAGGGCGGCAGGGACCTGCTGGAATTTCTACCACCTGCTTTCAGTTGACTGCTTACTCACCCACAATCTCTCCCCCGTCCAACAGTCCAGCAAGCCTTCTCCACCAAGTCAGCTGAAGGGTGTTGTAGAAGTACGTCAGAGATATCGCTGACCCCGGCATGACCAGGCGCACGATATCCATGACTTGCCCACTTCTTCGGCTTTCACGCAAGAACAAACCGGTCAGCATCGGCGAACATCGGAAAATGTCGTGGGAAGTGCGTGTTCCGGGAGAGTCACCGTAGAGAGGCCAACTTACAATAAGTTGAAGAATCCGCGTGAGCCTAATCATCGCAAACGAAACCTGTATGGGCCAAGTTCTATTGAATATATCGGGGACAACTATGGCGACATGTCTATCGAATGCTCAAAGTGGGCTCGAAGCTAGGAAGTAGTCATCTATCTTAATGATCAAGAACCTACTGAAACCACTAAGGGTAGATCGAAGCACTCTGCCAACAGCCATGCTTCTCAAGAATTTGTTCAAGAGCTGACCTTTGCCAGGGCCAAAAGCGTTGTTTACGCCTCCAAGTAGTGGGACTGGAATAATTTCTTTTTACTCGTCATCTCAGAGGGGTTCAGAGCTCAGGCATATCTCCCACCGCAAATTCCGGGAAGAGCTGGAATTTTTTTAACTATGGGAACTGAGAACAGCTTGTATCTAGTGAACAACCTGAGAGTTTGAAAACAAGGGTTTTCTGTTTTGCCGCTGGGTCATTCCGCTGTACAGTAACTGCGTCGAGTATATTTCCATTCTCCTCAGGCGGCACGCTACATCGCATATATTAAATATTTTAATACGATTTTCCATGTAATAAATATCGAGATTCTAGTCCTATAAACTCTCTAGTCAGCTACAAAATCCTATACTGTTGGTTAGTTGGGTGGAATATGTAAAGAGAATATCGATTTGCCGCACAGCAACGCCAACATTAGCATTGAACCACCAACCTCTTGGACAGGATTTTTTTACAGATGCCAAAGACTGCAAGTTGGGCCAGAAACTTCCTCTAATTAAGTAGGTAGTTTCGGAGAAATCAACCTCACTTTCCTCGTGGAGCCCTGGGGCAAGCTTAGTTACATCTGGCAAGGCATCTTGAGGAAACATACCACTGACAAGAAACAACAGTTTTGAATATTTTGAGAAAGTTTGGGATTAATCATTGATAGAAGACCCTAGGCCAACTATTGAAGACGATGTTACTCGGAACTGGAAGGCAGAAAAGTCGCATTCAAGCCATAGGTGTCTATATTCGCAGTTTTCCGCGTGACGCAGCCATATTGAAACCAACGAGTCAAATTCCGCGCCAAATGCTGTCTTTATTTTAGTTACTAAAAATTTTTGAAGAGAGCCGGCCATAGCTAGAATCACATGAGTTTTCCATCACGGTTGGTTACTGAAGGAACGCAACTACCTGCCTGGGCAGAATGTTTCTGTACATTTTTGTTTGAATATTTGGCCAGTCCCTTATATGAGGTGTGCGATAACAATAGTATATTTCGGTTTAGCACCTTTTTCTCACATTTGTGGTTAATGAGCAGGATGAGAGAAGCTGGACGAGCTAGGAAGATCATGCCGACGACAACTGACTCCCGTCTACGGCCTTCCCCGAGGAATCATTACCTAAAGGGACAATTTTGTAAGATACTTTCATAAGCGATTAATTACAGATGAGAATTCTCTTTGCCCTCCTTCATTTTGGCAAGCGAGAGCACGATGGGGAATATCATGCACTAACTACTCGGGGCGGACAACTGGTGGTGATGGCTGTGCACTCTCCCATAATCATCCGCACGAGTTCACCTACTACGTTGTCGCCCAATTGCTTACCTATTAAGGCAGGCTACGGTATCCGGAACCGTAAAGGTCAGGATTTGCCTTGCGTGGCCTTTGTTTCGAAGAATTCAGCCTGGGTGATCTGTGTCCCAATGAGGCAAGCTTTCGGTCAACTGCACCAGAACTGCACCAAAACAAATCATCCACCAGCTTATTAGATAGTGGAGGCTTGTGCCTGGAGCAAGCGTAGGGCTGCCTGGCACGAACGAGCCGACCAATGAGAATCCGACACCCTCTCCGATGAAGTACCTAGATGACAGGATCGGGCGCCCTAATTTAGTGCCAACACGCTAAGAAGTCTGCCGAGCCACTGTGGATTCAGGCTTGTGGGAGCGACTCAGCAAATTAGAGAGCAGCTCCAGGTCGTCGAGTTTCGATACTTCTCTCCGACCGTCACTGATGTATGAACAGGGAACAGAAAGACCCCTTGGAGAAAGAGTTCGGCTCATACCACTCGCTAGTTTTACGTTTTCTACTATATGCAACCCTCGGAAGGGAAAGTCAACGTTGTTACCTTGCCGGTTGCAGTCGCAGGGTGGTCGCTGGGTAGTGATGCAAGAGCGCGGGAATGATAACCGCCAGACCAAACGATCAATCGAGGCCAGGTAAATTAGATGTGTTCCCCAAGCTTTCATGCGGGACTGAGAATCCCGGCAGCTAAGGCAAATGACGGCTGACCATGTCATCCTCCATGGCAGCTCAGCCACTGACTTGAAGCCCCGCCTAGTGGATGTCATCAGAATCCTCCCAGCCAGGTGGGCATGATGTAGATGAGACTTAGGCTGCCATGCTCTGGATTTTACTATATAACATTCCCTTGAGGCCGGTTCCGTCCTGAGAAGTGAGACACATAACATTCGGTAATCTCATAATCTCTCCTCAACTTCTTCCGCTCAAGATGCGTGCCAGATCCGTTCTCTTCAACTTGCCCTTGGTGGTGTCTGCAACACCACTAAACGCCCCTTTTACACATAACTCGCGTTCGACAAATGTCAGCTCCATTCAGTGGAAGTCTTGTACCATTCCCATCGCGACTTCGGTTCCCGTCGAGTGCGGCAGCCTGAATGTACCCCTGGACTACACCGAAAAGAACTCCAGCGAGACCCTGAGACTAGATCTCGTTCGCATCCCAGCCCTGCAAGTCGAAAAGAAGGGCAGCATTCTGTTCAACTTTGGCGGTCCCGGCGCGGACGGTGCTGTAGACCTTGGCTACTATTCCGAGCCTCTCCTAGCGTATGTCAGCCACCTTCTTAAACTAAACCATGAGCTTGGTCAACTTACATTTCTGAATTAGGTCTACTGGAGGATATTACGATCTTATCAACGTTGTTCCCCGGGGAACAGGCTATACACTCCCATTCTCATGCTATGACGATGCAGCTACAAGGTCTGCCTTTGTCCAACCCCTTATTAACGGCGATTCTTCCGATACAGCTCTCGGCAATGCGTGGGCTCGCTCTACAATCTACGATCAGAACTGCGCAGCTCACCAGAACAAGACTGGCTCCTTGATTGGAACTGCTTTTGTTGTGCGTGATCTTTTCCAGGTTGTCGATGCCTTGGACGAGGATGGATTGCTGCGTTATTGGGGTGAGTCTTTGCATCTTCATGAACATGATTTATGGGTCTGCAACTCCTGAACAGCAAGGGCTTGAGATACTAACCGTTTCATTATAGGAGTATCTTATGGCACCATTCTAGGTGCCACAGCAGTTGCCATGTTCCCCGACAGAGTGGACAAGGTTATCATTGATGGTGTTGTTAATCCCCATGAGTATTACAACAACAAGTATGCCTGCCGCCATCATTCTTTCCCAGCCTTATGTGCTTTCATTGCTAACTATAATCTGATGCAGAGAAGTCGAGCTGTTCACAAACTCCGATGATGTGTTCACGGGCTTCTGCCAAGCATGCATTCAGAACCCTGACAACTGTCCCCTTGCCCAGAACCACACCGCAGCAGAGCTCGAGACGAGCCTCCGCAAACTTCTTAGCAACCTGAAGTACCATCCCATCCCCTTTGTTACGCCTCTCATCCCAGGCGGAGGCTTCGTGCTTGATTACTCGACCGTCGTCAGCTATATCCACCGGCAGTTATACTTCCCCTACGCCTGGCCTTCTTTAGCCATCTTGCTGCACGACCTTGCCACAGGGGACCTCGCAAGCCTCGTCGCCCGTATCCTCTCCGAGTCCGCCACTTCTTCCAACACTACCTCAGATTGGAACCCTCCCAGCTTTGACGAGGCCCTCTATGGTATCAAGTGTAGCGATATTTTGGTAGATAGCACCTATGACGAGACAGCCGCCGTCCAGATAGCTCGCTACGAGAAGGGAATATTCGGCGGCGTCGCGGCCGAGATGCCTGCGCGATGCGCCCAGTGGCCGATGCGAGCCAAGGAGCGATACTCGGGCGACTTCAAGGTCAAGCCCAGGAACCCCGTCCTCGTCATCGGCAACACCTTCGACCCTGTGACTCCCCTTGTCTCTGCGCGTAACGTCAGTGCTGGGTTTGAGGGCAGTGTTGTTCTCCAGCAGGACGGCTACGGCGTAAGTTTCATAGCCCTTTGGTCCTTAAATGGTGAACTGGCTAACAGTAACGTGTAGCACGCCTCGCTGACACAGGCTTCCCTCTGTACGGCTAAGGCGGTCAGGTCGTACTTTATCAATGGCACGCTTCCTGCCGCCGGCACTGTCTGTTCTGTCGACATCCCCGTCTTTAGTGGCAGCGATGGATGGGCTGATGTTATCAAGCAATTGGCTGAGGAGTCGTCTTGAATTATGGGAGTGTCGGGTGTGTGCTTACATTGAACAATGTCTTCTATATTTTTGTTGGGCGGTATTACATCAGAGATGGTAATTTCATGAAATAAAACAGGGTCTTTCTTCAGGAAGCAAAATTCAAGTGATTTAGCAACGATTGAATTAGCAAGGCTAACAAAGAATCATACTGTCCGCGCTCTGCCTTTCGCTGGCCATTTCATACCATTGCCTTATGAAGTGAACGAGATCGATAGTTTCATTTGAAATGATGTAAAAACTGTGTATTCAACACTTAGTATTAAACTCAATGAATGATATATCCTTGCCTGTTTATTTTGTAATGGTATCATTATTTTTCACCTCCTCCCCTTCTTAGCCTTCTTACTCCGCCTCGGCTCATCATCATTGTCCCCTCTCCTCTTCTTCCTGCCCTCTTCCAGCAGCTGATTCATACCCTCGCTACCCTTGAACTTAGGGTTGGAGGGATCAATCGCGAACTCGTGGTCCTCGAACACGGCCTTGAAACGGTCGTCGCCCACGTCCATGCTGAAGTCCTCCTGCAGGTTACCCGTGGCCAGGTCCTTCTTGCCCTTCTTGCTCTTCTTCTTCTTCTGCTTCTCGGCGCGCAGGATGTCGTTCATGTCGAAGTGGTCTAGGTGGCTGGCCTGGTTCTCGTCGGCGTCCTCCGCCATGACCTTGGTGAGGTGTGCCTTCTGAGCTGCCGACTCGGCATCGGCGGCTTCGCGGGCCTCGCGCTTCTTGCGGCGCTCCTCCTTACGGATGGATGTCTTCGAGGGTGCGATAGCGGGCTCGTCCGTCGTGAAGAAGGGATCGTCAAACCCGAGATCCTCCTCCTCCTCGTCTGCCTGGGCCGGGGCAGCTTCGTCCTCTGACTCGGCGTCAGAGTCCTGGCCGTCACGTTTGGCCTTGGCCTTTTGACGCCTCTGCTCCTTTCGCTCGCGCTCCTTTCGGACGTACTTCTCGAGGGTTGTCTCCTCCTCGCCGGCCTTCTTCTGCTTCTTCTTGGTCTCTGTCAGGGCGGGTGTGAAGGTGATCTGCATGTCTCCCACGGGGCCGTGCTTGGACTCCTTTGCGGTGGGCTCCTCGCTAAGACCCAGAGCTTCCCGCATCTTCTTGCGAGCTAGCTCCTTCTTAGAAAGCTTGGGGGCGTCCTCCATTTCTCCAGCATCAGCATCCTCCTCTTCCTCGTCCTCGCCCTCACTGTCGCTTGCCAGGTACGCGCGAAGGTCGTTCTCCTGTAGGTCGGATCGGCTACCGGTGAAGGCCCTGTTGAGAGCATCTTTTCGGGACGTCTCCTCCGGGTGTATGTCCCATGTCAACTTCACCTTGGAGCTCTGTAACGCGTTGGTCACAAACTCGACAGGCTTGTAGCTTTCCGGCACCTTGTCGCACTCGTCACGCGGCTCGTCATCGAATGTGACATCGTCGGGCACAAATCGGAGGTCAAGGAAGTTGGACGACGACTGGAACTCGGTGCCGTCTGTGGATTCGTAGATCTTCTTGGCTACCTGGAGGTTTGAGCAGACCATCACTGCATAGTAATAGCGTAGTCTGTCCAGTTGGTAGGACCGCAGAGCGTCGCTGTCGAAATCCCCATCATCGCCCTCCTGTATCAGCTCCTTCTTGATCTTCTCATCTTCACTGAGGTCGCTGTCGTCATCATCCTCGCTCTCGTCCGACTCGGAATCCCGCTTGTCGGTGTCCTTGAATAGAGCCTTTGGAGGTCCTTCGACTTCTTCCTGCTGCATGCGCTCCTTGCCAAACTCGCTAGGGTAGATGGAAATCTTCTCGATCTTGCCACTCTCGCCGGGTAAAAAGCTTGAGAAGAGGGCCATCAAGTCTGTGGATTTGATGTGGTCCCAGTCCAGGTTGACAATGGCAATGCGCTTGGTGACTTCTCCGGATTCCACCTCAGCCCGCTGGTCTTGGAATCGCTGCATGTCGCCGCTATTAGACACAGTGGCACCCCCGGCCTCTTCATCTTCATCCTCGTCTTCGTCGTCGTCGTCTGAATCCGAGTCTGATTCGGAGGAGGAGAATCCACCACCGCGAGCTGGGTCGAATTTTTCATGCGCCTTCCTCAGTTCCCTCTGTACAACTTCGTCGTCGTCAACTTCCAGATCATCGTTGGATTGGGCCTTGTCGTCACCTTCCTCCTCGTCATCCTTGTCCTCATCCTCCTCGGGTTGGTACAACCTCTCCAGAGCCTTCTTTTTTGAGTCGGATTTCAATTTTCGGCCGTAGCGATCTACTCGGGCGGTGGCTGTGAACTCTTCATCCTTGAGCATGCCAGCAAAACGCTTGTCGAGGGTGGTCTTTGTCTTCTTCTTCGAGGGCAGTCGGAAGCGAGGGTCGGTCTGGAAATTGGCGAAGCGCGGATCGGAGATCCGGCTCGATGAGCCCTCCCCATGCTTCTTGGAGCCTTTCTTCATTGTCGCAAAGTGCGTGCTACTAGATGCGACGACAGAGGAATTGATGATTGCTCAGTCGAAGGTAATGGAAGAGGTTGCTGGCTCGCTACTTTTCCCTGCCGCGACTTAGAGGGGCAGAATATTTTTTTCTTGCCCGAGAATCTGGGCGGTGAGCTCCATATACGCCTAATCAGGAAGGCGGTCAAGAATAGTATGGGCCCGCCTAACACAGCATGAAATCCACACATAAAATGACCCTCGTTAGGATGGAGAACATGGTAAAAAAAATCAACATAAAAAAAAAAACATACAACAGCGGGTATTCGCTGGTCGTCACCGACCCAACTACTAATCCACCCCTCATCCGTTTAACTAGGCGAGAGCGGACGGGATCACGTGTTTTCGAATGGGTATGGTCGTATGTGACAGATGAGGCTAAGATTAGGACTATATGCTACGTTCCTGGCATTTAACAAAGAGCAAATTAGGAGTAGAAAACATACAAAAGTAGGTACTCGCATTGAACAACTAGTATCATCTGATGACACATGTTATTTTAGGTTGTTCTAGATCACAAGAACATCTGCGTAGCCCCGGAGGCTGACATTTGGAGAGATTCAACCTGAGCATTATGAACAAAAGATCAGAACGATACATCATCTTAATTTCAAGCATCTTAAACACCCATATACAGCCAAACTACCCTCGATCTTTGTTAATGTTGCTGCAAAATGATTTGAACTTATTATGTTGACCGAGGGGCTCGCAGCGTTGACAAATATTTAGCTTTTAGGTAGCCAGGCTAGATTTCCCCTGAGGACTTTTGGGAAGGCCCTTGATACTTCTTTAGGTTAAAGCCTTGAGGGCTGTTGTTCTGCCGCTGATGTGTCTTCGGATGCGCATATATTGAATTGGTTCTTGCCACAATAATCGCTAGAGATGCGGCTTGGTAACCGACAAAAGTCATACACATCTGGTATTACTCCGAGGCAGCTTTTTTAGGGTCATACCTCTTCAATAGCCTCTCGTAGTCCTCTGCGGCTCTCACCGCAGTCCACCATGTGACTACGGGGGCGCCGTCCGCATCGACAGCAGTGAGATCAAATTTGTATAAGAAATTCGTTTTGAAGTCGGCAAAAGAGGGTGTAAGTCCAAGGAGGAATAAGACTACAAGCACAGTATCCGATATATGGATGTGACTTCCGCACATTTGGCAATCTTCCCTCGCCCTCCGGAGCCGGCTAGAGAAGTCTGACACACTTTTGCAATGGGCTAGGGTGAGATGGAAGAGTTCCTCAGTGCGTTTCATGAGAAAAAAGCTCCCGGTAGGCTTTAGCCTTTTCTCGATAGCTTCCAAGAGGAGATCAACTTGGTCACATGCCTCAAGCTTCAGACGTCTTTCTGGGCTGATTCTTGATAAGATCGCCCTTATGGCTGGTTGGTGCTCGTCCAGAAAGTCCTGTAGTGCCTCCGTGTCCTCGTCTGATGGTCGGGGCTTTCGTTTTTGAAGCAACGGCCCGTAGCCTGCTGCCTTAAGACCGAGTTGTATTCTTCTCATCCATGGCAAATAATCTTCGTCTTGTTCGAAAATCGGAACACTTGCTAGCCAGAGACTCACTTCGTCGAGGGGCTGTGAATCGACGTTGCGTTGATACTCTTGCTGGGTTGACGTGCGCTTGGCTTGCCGACTGTCGATCGACAAGCTACGTCCGGTTGAATGCATCGACGAATAGGGGCCTGATGACCTACTCCTCTTCGTAGCACGGGAGCGGCGCCCCATTTTGAGTTTAAGTCTGTCGTAGACAGCTTAGTGCTGGGAGGTGTTGAATATTTCTTCCAAGATGTATGAATTCCTGCGTCTGTGGGCCATCAATGCCCAGAAAATATCGACTGATCGAGCTAGGTACAGAATCAAGATGATTTTATCCTTCTTGGTTGTAGTGAGTATGAGTTGTAGCTAGAAAATTGATATCTCATCATCATGCTATTTGGAGTCGCGAGGCGGTGAAGATTGATATCTGAGCCGCTAAGACCCATGCTCTTCCGCCAATTGCAGGTCGCTTTTTCTACCTAGGTACCTAAATACTCTAGTAGATAGTAAGAAAGATGGGTATCTTTAATAGCCTCCTATTATATTAATATAAATAAATAGATAGTTGATTGGTTGGCTATAATTTATATAGCTGATGTAGGGTTTGTGGCTCCAACACAGAAAGATACGCTGAATAAAGCTGGCTTCTGGGATTTGGGCTATAATCCTGATGAGAAGGGTATAAAAAAGAGACCAGATCATGATATAAATGAAGTAAGCGTTGTAGATTCTATTGTGATGCCATGGGGGATATATTTCGCTCAATTGTCAACTGACAACTGGCACTGTGGCAGGGGTTGGTCAGCCTTGCGGTGAAGCTTGGGGCCAGTCTCACACAGTTGTTTGTAAAGCGAGAATCAAAGTCGCTGTAAGTTAGTTCTTTTTGAGAAACTGGGTAAGAAACGGATCCTCTGTCAAGTCCTGCGCTGTTGCTCGTTCCTCAGGAAGCCAACGAAAAATCTTTTTGATGAGTGCTAACAGCAAATGGTGGTCTTCGCCTTTGAGCTGGGCCTCTCTCATGTCAAAGCTCTGCTCTGGAATGGGTGTTGATGCTATCCAGTTACCTGGAGAGTCTGTTAATATTGCAGTATGCCTTCTTTATGTTGGGCATGTATCTTACCATCAGCATCCCAGTACTCACGGCACTTGGGGCCTCGCTCCAGGAATTCTTTCGGAGGAGGACCCATGAGCGAAACCAACTCGGCAAGATGCTGTTCATCATTAAGGATTCTATCCTTGAGGGCGTAGAATAGGCGAGTACCCTGGAATAGATCCCAGATCTTCTATATGTTGGTTTTAAGTACAAGTGGCATGGTTTTGAAGAACTCACCACCAGCTCAACACACCAAATGTCAATCTTTTCGTCCCATTCCATTCCTAGAATCACCTCTGGCGCGCGGTAGAAGTCAGGCATCACATCCCCTCGATGCTTTTGCCCCCGGGCTGCCCCACGCGAGATTCACCAAAATCACATATAATTGGGATGCCTTGAGTGATGGGCAGAGGCCGAGAGCCATATATGGTTATGTCTTCAGTGGGTTTGAGGATAGTTGGGGTTTCGGATTCGGCTCTGTCTATCTGAGAAAAAACTTCTGGGTCTGGGACACTGATTAAATGTTATTAGGAGATAGATCTGCCCCTAATCAGCATCATAATGTGAATTACACCCAAAAAAGAAAACATGCCTGTATGAACGACGCCAGCCTGGTGAAGAAGGTCTAAGCCGAATGATACTCGCAACAAGGTGTGCTGTAGAAGCGGAGTAGGCAGCACTTGATTTGGCATGGTATTGCGCAATTGGAGTAAGTTCATGCCAAGAGGTGTGTGAACTAAGCATGGATGAGTTCCGTGAGGGCCCTGAACTTCGAAGCGACTCCGCAGAAGACGCAAGCTGTTGATACCCGGATGCTCAATCTGAATCGAGTTGAAGAAGGCCGTAACAGCCTCCTCGGACTCTGCTTGGGTGCGAGCGTCACCATCGCGAAATTTCTGCCTAAGGGCGCAGACTTTGACAGCCACATATTCTTGACTCCTGCCATATGTTAGTGAAGGCTGGCAAGTGTCTAAGGGATCGCGACAAACGTACTTGCTGTCTCGGCAAAGCCAAATGGTCGAGTTCGTGCCAAATCCGAGCTTAGCGACAACCATATATCGCGAGTTAAGTACTTCTCCCAGCTTCGCAGGGTAAAATCTCCGTGACTCGTAGGTTGGGACAGTCTCCTCCTCAACGAGTGAGGATGAGGTTGGGGTGGACACCTGCGTGAAAAGTCGCGATTGAGTGTGACAATATGGCCGGTGTCGGATGGGAAGTTGAATAGAAAGTGTAACATTAGAAAGAAATGGGGGTGAGAAGACTCTGGGAACAAAAATATTTGCATCTTGGCGCTGTCCAAAGACGATGCATGTATTGGCGACGAATCAATTTCAAGTGAAAGGTCAAACTGGAGTCACTGGCTTTGGGGTAGTCTTATCCGGTCGATTACTTCGTGCTTTTGGCTGGTCGATAGACGTATCGTAGCAATCATAAAGTCATGGGAAAACATATCTTTCAAGAAGAGTGATTTTGAAGGAAAATATAAGAAGGGTGAAATGAATCTTGGTTCAACTCTGGGTGGAATTTATCTGATTTTCCCAGTCTGACAGGAGCACAGTAACTAGCAAGTAAATATTAGCCAATGATAACGTGTACACTGACCCACATAAAGCGGCTTGTTGATTCGTCGCGACTCACGAGTTCATCGAGCTGTCACTGTCACCTTTCAGTCACCATTCTTCATACGAAAGCTTCCTAATGACACTTTTTTTTTTCCCACTACATACTCCGCACTGGTAGAAAAATGAGCAGAATAAAGTCTCTAATTACTCTATCTCTGTACCATAAACCGTGGCCAGTGTCTTCGGCTATTGCCCCTCGACTAGACACCACTCATCTTGCTGAGGAGGAGAAGATTCCAGACTATCACCCCGATCGATTTTATCCTGCTCGTCTAGGGCAGATTTTGAATCAAAGGTACCAGCTTGCCACGAAATTAGGCTACGGAGCCAACTCGACGGTTTGGCTGGCTCGCGACCTGCGCCGGTCAGTTTCTTCCTCAACTTCCACCCAAATTACCTCCGAACTGACCATTATGCAGCTGGCGCTGGTCCAAAGAAAAATATGTCGCCGTAAAACTTAACGCAACTGCAACTCCATCGAGGCAATTACCAACAGACAACGAGGAACGCATTTTACGGCATATTTCGAAACTAAATCCCCACCATCAGGGCTGGCACTTTATCAGAAAGCTCAGTGACTCGTTTCAACTTGAAGGTGTATATGGCGGGAAACATTCTTGCCTTATTCTAGACGCTTTACGCGAACCTCTCTGGATTTATCAACAAAGGTATATTGATGGGTTTATCCCGGTGGGTATACTCAAAATCCTCCTACAGATGACTCTCCAAGCACTCGATTATCTCCACTCTGAGTGCCATGTCATTCATGCAGGTATGGAAACTTGCGGAACTCAATGGGAATATACATCTAACCTCCAGTGTTCTTAGATTTAAAACCTGATAATATCATGATCAGAATCGAGGACCCATCTATTTTCGAAGAACACGCGCTGGATGAGTTCCATCACCCACTACCACAGAAGCATACAGGTGATAGGGTTATATACCTTTCACGCAACAACTATGGGCCTCTAAAAAGGCCAACGGGTATAATTCAGCTTATGGATTTTGATCTTTCTGTATCAACCAAGCCAGGAAGGCTACACTATGGAGCCATCCAAGCTGAGATTTACCGAGCGCCCGAAGTCATCCTTGAGGCTGGTTATACTTTTTCCGCTGATATATGGAGTTTGGGTGTCTTGGTGTGTATAACCATTCGCTACCAAGAATTCTTGTCGAAAACATACTAACACCGCCGTTCATAAGTTCTGGGATTTATTAGAGGGAAAACATCTCTTCAACCCACACACACCTGAAAAGCCGGACGAATACGATGAGGCGGTACACCTTGCCCAGATAACAAGCTTACTTGGCTAGCCACCTCGTAGTCTTGTTTCTAGTGGACGGAGGAGTTCTATGTTCTACGACGATAATAGTAAGTTTTATTTACACCATCAATTAGAACATCTAAGTGACAAGGATAGACCCAGAAACTCCGCGAGACCCTCAGCCACTTGCTTGTAATCTCAGCTTTGAGGAGGGTATCAACCAAATCAAAGGCGAGGAGAAGAGAAGGTTCATAAGTTTTGTGAAGAGAATGATCAAATGGAAACCAGAGGAAAGAAGCACCGCGAAAGAATTGCTCGGAGATCCTTGGCTGTACGAAGACTTCTCTCAGGATCAGGCGAAGGACAAATCACCCCCCAGATGCCTCAATGAAAGCTGAATAATTTTTTTCTGCCATTATCCCCCCCCTCCTCCTCCCCACTTTGCGAGCGATTAGAGGAGTTACTGGACTAGTGTAAAAAATCATGTGTTTGAAAACAGCCCTACATCGTGTCCTATTGCTAGCCCCACGGCTGCAGAGCGCCCTGAGTTCGTTCAAACAATGGTCGTGGTAGCTTGCTGTATTCACACACCCTTCAAGCTCATAACTCAGTATTGGCCGTGCGAGGACAATGACTTGGGCTAATTCGCCGCATCCTAACCTGAGCTACAGGAGAACTTGAGTCGCGAGAACATGCACTTAAGCAAGCTCTCCCATAATAAAATTATTACGCAAGGGGCCAAAAGGAAGGTCAATAAAGTCCCATCCTTGAATTAGGGTGACATATTATATTGGAAGAATATAAATAACTGATAGGCGAGTAACTTGATTTGGGCAGCTAGATTCTCAATGTTGTCACACGGATACCCTTACCTTCCGCGTTTGTCAAATATCCCTGTTTGGTTCCAATATTACTGCTTGGTTGGAACTCATACGGACTACAGTCACAGCCCGCCCACAATTGATATCCCCAAACGCTCATCATGGGTTCTAATTGTACCTTATCTGGGACATTCGTCGTCAAGAAGATGCGAGAATAAACTCGCATATATGGTGGTTTGCAGTTGTCAAGAGATCCTACGTTTTTTCTTTCTACCCAGGATTCGTCATTGCTTGGAGTAGTAAGAATATGTGAGAAAAAAAGAGGGAGAGCTCCTGAAGCCTTACTCTTTGTTCAAGCTCAAGAACTCTATGGATATTCTGTGGTATAGGGTAATTGCAAGTACCGCCAGACAGGCTACGGTGCCAGTTGCTGGAGACGATATGCATTCCACCTTTTTCATACTGTAACGGCTTGTTCTGACCTCGGTGGCCTGAGACTCGCTCCCATTGCTTATCAACACATGGAGGGATTGAATAGAACCTTCCTCAACTAGTTCAAGGATTTAATCAATCCCAATCAACAATAGCTCAAATTGACCTAGTGCCAACTCGCTACTGGTTATGAGAACTGAGTGCAACCACCAGGGTGAAAAGGAATTGGACTTTCGTCTTCTGTTTAGTGCCGGAATTCATCCCACTTCAGCTAATCAAGTAGGCAATATTATGCCGTCCGGAAATAGCTCACTTCGTGATTGATCCACCTCGAACACGAGATGCCCGATTTCGAGGTCACTTGGTAAAGATGCTCGTAAACGCAGTGAAATAGTGTGAAGAGTTCTAATTGTTGCTTTTCAACGTTCTTAACCTTTGTACTTTCGGTATAACATTATGTGTTTTTCAGCCCCCTGAGCTTGTCCAAAAAACAGCATCCATGTCCTGTTCTCGGATCACGGCTTTCGCGTCTGGGATTCTCGAACACCATCACCAGATCGGGCAATGGCCGGCAGGATTCCGAGGGGCAACATTCCCAAAGTTGAAACCTGCTTGGCATTTCGCTCACCAAAATAGAAACAGAAGGTTCTTAACCGGGCTCCCTCAAATTACCCAACTGGTGCAGCTGAAGTTGGGATGGATATATGCATATGGGGACGTCCGAACCATCCCTCCTCGACTTTCAGCTCTTGCTTGTCCCACCACCAAACTAAGCAGGTATCCGCGCACACTCCTCCCATCATGCGCTTCCTCTCCTTCTTCGCCCTCCTGTCCACCGCGGCAGCGGCGGTCGTCAACTACCCACGCGCGTCCTTCTACCCGGAATCCGAGGAATTTAGCCTGACAGTCGGCGGCAAGAAGATTGACACGGTCAACTTTGCCAACAACTACGACTATGCCCACCTCGCCATGGACGCCGGCTCGCCCGTCGAGTTCCGCCTCAAAGCCAAGACGCAGAGCTCAATTACGAGCTACATCCTCTCCCCGCGGGGGCAGAACTTTGGCGCCAAGATCAGCGGTAACGAGCTCGTCTTTTCCGCTTCGAAGCCGCAGTACTTCATCATCCTGATCAACAAGGTCAAGGAGATGGTTATCCTGGTCGATCCGATCGAGAAGGACGTGCCCAAGGATAAAGGCGATGGCATCTTCAATGTGTTGGACTACAAGGCTGATAACTCAGGCAAGGCCATCACCAAGGGGATTCAGGATGCTGCGGATGCTGCTGCGAAGAAACCCGGCAGCATCGTCTATGTCCCTGCTGGCTCATATCTGATGGGTAACCTACTGCTGAAGAGTTTCACGTCCCTGTATCTCGCTCCTGGTGCGGCTCTTCGATTCACTGGAAACCGTAACGACTACAAGACTCTCTTCACCAAGGCCGGCCTTTTCGACGGAACGTGGTGGATCCAGACAGAGCCTGCTTCGGATGGTGTTAAGATCTACGGCCGTGGTACGATCGATGGAAACGGAAAGTACACCCGTTCACAAAAATACATGGCCAGTCTTGTTGTCCCCGTCGGGACCAAGAACTTCAAGTACGACGGCGTGTTGGTGCGAGACGGGTCATTCTGGGCAGTGACACCAATCCAAGCTAAAGACGTTGAGTTCACCAACCTCAAGATCCTGAACAGACACGACGTGACCCAGGACGATGGAATTGACGTCGTCGAGTCACAGAGAGTCACTGTCAAGCGCTCGATTGCTATTGCCAACGATGACAGCTACTCGTGCAAGACGTGGGAGCCTAATCTGGACACCACCAAGCCTTATCCCTTCAAGCCACAAGTCGTGAAAGACATCGTGTTTGACGACTGTATGTCGTGGACTGAATGCTACAGTTTCAAGATTGGCCAGGGCGTTGTTGAAGATCAGTCCAATGTCCTTTTCAAGAACGGTGTCGTCTATAATGCCGGCGTTGGCATGGGAGTTCACCATTTGTATGGCTCAAAGACAGCCAGCAACATCACCTTTGATACCATCGACGTTGAAAACCTGCACGGCAACAGCGGAGGCATCGCCACATGGCTGGCCCTTCACATCAAGGACAATGGCAACAACCGTGGCGTCGGCCCAATCAAGGACGTTACTGTCAAGAACATCCGGGCCCGCGTGAAGGGCACTCGGGAGGGACTGATCCAGGGATGGAGCGACAAGTTTAAGGTTAGCGGAGTTACTTTCTCAAACGTCTTCATGGGTGACAGCAAGACACCTGCCACGACGCTCAAGGAGATGAACATGGTCAACACTAGCTTCTCAGAGGGCATCAAGTTCGCCAACACCAAGTAGCAAACAGATTGCTGTACTTGACAAGGATAACTACGTTGCGTTACTTTGTACACTACAAAACTCATTTGCTTTCAAGAAAGATATTCTTTTCTAATATATATTGAGCCCGTATTAAAATCTCCAAAATGTTCAAACAAACCGTGAATTATTCTTCGCCGATAATATAGTCCATATCTCCCTGCTGAGGAAAAAGAAACTTATGCTTACCCATACAATGACGTTGAAACACTTTTCCCAAGTACCCATCGCATGCCAAGCAGGACACTATGCCCAGAACATAGCAGCAAGAAACAACCGCCCGAGTGTACGAAGAAAAATACGCGGTTTCTCGGTATGCCACAAGGCATGGGTACAAGCTGATCCCCATGATTGCCCCCGAAAAGCAATTCATGACGGAAAGGGTTGATGTGGGCAACCGCTTGGCAGACAATACTTTCCTTGGCCTACGTCGGTTTTCGAAGCCGTGCCTGGTGAAACTGAGGTCGAAAACGGTAGAGAGTAAGCGCTTATATGCCCGGCATTGCAACGATTGCGGTGCTGTCAGAAACACACACGCCAAGATAACTGCCTGGTCACGACAGGGTTCGGCAACTGTTGGGTATCAATCACACGCTGTTCCACTGGGCTATGCGACCTTGCACTTGGCACCGTCAATCCCTGGGGGACTGAATAGCTAGGATCGTACTTCTACAACTCCACGACGATTTCACGGATGCTTTGAGATTAAGCGGAATAGAAGAAGGTAGGAGAATATATAAGACCAGGGAACCGGAATCAGACGAGAGCGAGAGCCGGGGTGGGTTGATATTTCTAGCAACCGTGAATGAGCCTCAATTTGCCTCGCCATTAATGAGGTATAAACAGATTCGGATTAGAGTCTTTGGAGACGCTGTTGTCTATGTCTATGCTTGTGTAATATTGAAGGCAAAAAAAAAAAAGAGTTGAAAGTTAGTATGGAATGAAGTTTGGTTAAAAATGAAAAGTGTGCAACAAGCCATACGTGACCTGATATTGGGAATATCCCTTGCATAAGGCAAAGAAAATCACAAAAGAGACTCTGAGACTAGATATATTTACTCTATAGAATCTGCCATCATGCCTTGTGGGCTTAATAGCCAATCACGAAGGTATTATTCCGCCAAAAGGAACAATCCTCATGGCCTACTTGGCCTTGTAGCACTTGTCTTTGATGCCTAAACTGGAAAGTGGTGAATGAAGCCTTTGGATTCGCTGCTCCCAAGACTGAGACAAAGCGAAATCGGATTCTCATCCAAGTACCCCTGGCTTGAGTGGAGGTGCCTTGGATGCCTAAAACATGAAAACGCACTGTGCATGCTTACCAAGTATACATTCACGCAAACGCGTCTCTTGGGGCATAGATGCAGTGACTTCACAACCTACAAGCAACAACCAGGATATGAACCAGTCATTATCGTGAAAGATCTGACGTCGGGTCCACCAATGACCTATAAAGTCGCATCGATTGCCAGCAAAGAAACTAAAAGACTAATAACAGAGCAGAGTTCATCCATCAAAATGTCAGCAGTTGAGGAGCAGCCAGCCGGTCCCCCTGATGCCTTCGAGGAACTCGGAGACATCCTCAAGAATCAAAACCACCTATTTGCTTGTAGCGGTTCCATACCCATCAGGGATGAGCCCGAGGCAGCGCCAGATCAAAGGCCGGGACCAGATGAGCAGAGAACTTCACGTCCTGTCACGATTCGATGGGATACTGCCACGGCTAACTCGCCTACCTCAGGGCAGGATGCTTGTATGAAGCTGACACTTCCAATCACGCCAGGAAGAAACGGCGGTGTGGACCGCTTGTGTCAGCATGCCCAACCTGCCACTTTTGGGCGTGGGGGTGAGGACGTTTTTGACGAGAGCTATCGCAAAGCACTCAAGATTGACACGGACTCGTTTTGTTCAACTTTCGATCCCTACACGCTTGGCATCATTGATACGATTGCGCAAGTCTTGCTTCCGAGTGCCATTGACTCAACAACCCATAGGTCTGTGAGAGCCGAGCTATACAAACTCAATGTAAGATCTTCAACATCTCCCCAACTCTAGCTTGCGTATCACTAACCAAGGCCATATTGAAGGTGTACTCTGCCCCCTCCGGAATGTTCAAGTCCCACGTCGATACGCCCCGCTCGACATCGCAATTCGGCTCTCTTGTCGTCTGTCTTCCTCTTGAACACGAGGGCGGCCAGCTCAAGGTGCGCCACAAGGGCAAGGAGATGACCTATGACTGGAGCACCAGCCAAAGCGACCCGAACCATGCTCAAATTCAATGGGCCGCCTTTTATAGTGACTGCGAGCATGAGATCCTCGAAGTCACCAAAGGTCACCGCATCACACTGACTTACAATCTGTACGCTGTGCGTGGAGCGGGACGCCTCACGGGCATGAGCAAGACATTGGATCCCACTCATCTGCCTCTCTACGAAGCAGTGAAGACCGCAATGAATAGTCCGCGTGCTGGATTCGATGGTAAAGGTGTGTATTAAAGATGTGTAGTTTTTTGGTCCGTCAAACGCTGACACACTTCTTCTAGGCGGCTCCATCATCTTTTGGTGCTCTCACATCTACGCCTACAACCATCACCCCGAGTCGCCCCTCCCCGACACACTCAAGGGCGTCGACGCCGTCATCTGGGAAATCTTCCAATCTCTTGGTCTGCAGCCTCGCATCGCGCCATTTGTATCTCTCGAAGGCGAGCATTGGGACCTTCGGGAGTGGTACGATGAGCTAGATGTTCCAAGCGAAGGAGGGGACGCTCTTCGTCGCTGGGCAGCAGAGCGGCCAGCCCCGCTGCTAGAGGGCTCCTTTGGGGTTTATATGCATCCTGGGGGATATCTGGACGAGTATACCCATTTCCAGGAGCTTTATATCGGCAAGGGTGGCTGGGGCGGTAAGTATCGCAACGAGTCACAAATCTGGTTGAATGAACGGCCGTCCCATAAGGAGTTGCAACTCCTATTCACCGCGGTACGTTGTCATCATTCACATTATTGCTCCCTTTCTATTTCTCGGGAAATTCAGACTAATTCCATGTCGTTTTGTAATATTTAGTACGGAAATCAGGGCGAGGCGGATTATCGTTATTCTCATTGTGGCATTGTGGTAGATGTCCCCTGCACCTCGGAAACTGAGGCTGAGGATGCCGAGGCGTTGGCCGAGGAGGTCAAAAAAAATCAGACTCCAAGGCCGCCTCCAAGGCCGCCGGTGCAGGAGGTGGATTATTTGTCGATGGGCCTCAGACAATTCACGCTTTTTGGTCCTGGGCCGAGTGCTCCTTTAGAAAGCACTCTATTCCCAAATAACATGGAGAACACTGAGGCCACTGGTTCCTCCAATGTTTAGTTCGCCGTTGTGGCTACCCTTTCCTTTAATCCTATCCTAATTGTTGCAATATCATAGCTCTCTACTACTTGTATGCCACTTGCCACTACTTGTTAATCCAACTTAACACAGCTCACCTCCCTAAGGATATCCTTCTATACTTTCAATGTTATTCTCAACACTGACGCAAAAAAAAAAGGTTCAAGTCACATCGGCAAATTCTAGGGCATGTCAGGTCGTCGTTGCGTGCATCATGAGGTGAAACAGAATTGCCTAGCCCTGTCCTGGATTTTCTGGCATCACCTGGAATTTGAGAACTTTATTTGATCACAACGAGAACGTTTCTCATTTGGGAAGAGTTACGAAACCAAGGCCTTTGTACTAGTGCCCCTAGAAAGAAGTTAGTCCAGATGTCAGGTCTTGAATCCTCATTTATCATTCATTATTGCCTTTCTTATGACGTTAGCTATCCTTAACCCAAACCAACTTCGGCTACAATGGCAAAGACGTCCATCTAAACTAGACTCCTAAGAACAATAGAACCTTAGGATGGGCCTTTCCATACCCACTTTGCACATGTGACATTTCGCCATGCGCCTTTTAAGTTTGAAGTTAACGTAGGTAGTCGGAGCATGATGATTATCAAATTGAAAAGAATCCTGGTGGGAGTTTGGGTATACATAGAGTAAAAAAACAACAATACAAGATGCCCGACATCTCCACACAATGAAACAAATTAAAAAGAATCATCATCAATGCTGACATCAGCTGATTGGGTCCTCTCCAGGTAGGTTATAAATGGGCGCGCCATATCCATCAGCGGTCCCCTCCAGACTCGGGGCCGTCGTAACTCCTGCCGATGCGGCGAGCGTCGAGTATCTATCAACATGCGAGAGAAGGGGGGAGAGGGCCTCATACGAACCAGACGAATATCGCCACTGAAGGGACGGGAGCTTTGTCTCCACGGTCATCTAGCTGTAGGTAGCTTATTTGCCTGAACTGTCAACATGCTGATCTGCACCCCTCTTTTATCCGATTTGCCACTCAACAGGCTCAAGGCCAGCCAACCAACCAGACTACAGCTTACCTGGTTCCAATTACAAAGTAGAGGTGCTCCTACAGCTCCTATCCTACCATTGCCCCATGTTGGTGTTGATCATGTCTAATCGCGGAAAAGTGGCAAGTTGGAGCCTATTTGCCATCATTTTTGTGTCTGACATGGACCCTGATGACACCATGTGACATCAGCGCTCATCATGGCCTTGCGCGTCATGAAGATGGGATTCTCAACAATTCCTCCTTGCTCGAGTAAAATTGCGTATCTTGTTTATATATAACCTTCATAACGTAGTAGCTTGTGCCAGAAAAAGAAAGATTACCCATCATCACCACATTTCAAACTTCTATTACTCTCCTCACGACAAGACACTGCTCTATCCATCAGCCTCTATCCTACCTTGTGCTGCCTATTTATTCACGTCTTATTCGCGGCAATGCCACGGACGGCCGCCAACCACTCCTATCCATTCACCGAAGGCTATTGCGTCGCTCCATCTTCACTGTCCAAGTGCCAATCCATGGAACGCAGGACGTCAGCGACCCACCTGCCCGTCGCAGGAGAATGCCACCATCTACAAGACACGTACATAGAGGCGACAGATCAAGGACCCTTGTTCACAGATGAAAGAGCAAGGACCATCTCTCCCCCACTCACGGCTGGACCCGAGGTGGCACCAGCCTCGCCGATCATGGCCCCTCCCTGCAGTGGGGAGCTGCGGTCACCCCGGCCATCCTCAGATGTTGTCATGAGAAGACAGGCGAGGCAAGCATGCTACGAGTTCTCGCACGGAAATGAGGACCTGGAAATCATGTTTGAGCTCAACAGCGACATGGGAATAACGTTGCGGCAGCCCGAAAGTGCAGGGAGGAGATGGCGGAAGCGGGGGGCAGAAGAAGCTCCGGAAGGCGAACTGGGAGATTTAGTCACGAGTGTGCCGTCTGGCAGCGATGATTGGGCAGCTACAGGGCTGGACATGGGCCAGGCACCGATGTTTTGGGGGGATGGAAGTTACAGCGATGTGAGTGGTGGAGAAGCTGTTCAGACCCTGGAGCTACTTGGGGATCGGTTACACAGGGATGCACAGCGGCAGTTGGAGTTGACTGACGAATCGTGCGTATGGTTTGGCCCAGATAGCGCAGTTTAAAACATCATTAATGTCTATGAGCGATTCTTTTCACAATTTCACGTCGACATTTAGCATGAACCGGCTCTATCGTCTGATTGGATGTATTGGGTAGACTTTAGGGTGGAGACTTTGAACGGAGCAACATCTCCGGAGGTGCATGCCCCACTCACTTATGGGAAATCCAGCTTTTGCATGTCGCCAGACCAGAGCATTGGCGATTCGCACTCTACCTTATCTTCTTAACCACCTTGAGATTCGACCCTAAACTTAGCCAATGACCCCGCAGCGAGAGTAAGACCTTAGCTACGCCAGCGAGATGCAGATGCGGGGGAGATAGTTGGAGCGCGGCGGCATTCTAGTCCGCACTCGCATCCAGATCTGCAAGATTGACCTCTCGCCTTTGTTGGAGTCGGCATCCACGATCACGACTCCCTGGTCTACGATCCCATGGCTCAGTGCGGGACAAAGCCACCCTGGGACGCATCCGAGGCTACGCGGCAAGATGAAGTGACAAGGTATATTCCCTCATCCTCCCTGAGGTTCCGGCGGTGGTGCTTACCTGTGCCGTGAACCAGATACGGCTCGACCCTGTTGAGCGCCTCCAGGATCAACAACCCGACCGAGCCCATCCCGAGCGCCGAGTTGTCCACTTCTAGCGATGCCATCCTCACTGCTCTGTGCCAGCTGGGAGCCTGGCAGACAGGCACGACCAGGGCCTTCCTGTCGCTGTTCGATGCCCAGCACCAGCACATTGTCGCCGAGGCCATGCCATCTCTGCTGCTGCAGCCATCACTCCCCAGCAACCACTGTCCGGTGCCTCTGTGGCTCTGCGGAACCGCCATACCTCGCCCTTTCGGAGTATGCGAGGCCACCGTCATCGCCGAGAACTCGGACCGTGCGAACCTCCCCCTCACTCTTTGCGACAACCTAGCCACAGATCCACGATTCAGCGACAAGCCTTATAATAGCTTTGGAGGGGATGCCAAGTTCTACGCGGCCGTGCCTGTTCGTACACGGCGGGGCATCAATATTGGCGTCTACTGTGTGGTTGACGAGACTCCAGGCCGGCCCTGGAACGACATGTACACGGCACATCTTCAACATGCCTCCCGAAACATCATGAACCACCTAGAGTCGCAGCTGCTCAATTCTGTACATCGACGGAACGAGAGGATGAACCGAGGGCTGCGTTCCTTTGTCGAGGGCGAAACAACCTTGTCAGGATGGCGGTTCAGCCCCAACTCCGCCGCCTACGCCAACCAAGACAACCTCGAAGGCGTTCTCAACGCCAGGCAGCAATCCCTTGGCCTCTTGTCTGTTCCCCAATTCGGCCTACCCACGGGTGACGCCAGGGCCCGAACTCCCATGTCCGACATGGACGCAAAAGGCTCGTACTTTGCCGTCGAACCGACCCCAGCACCCGAACGTGACGACATGGCCACCGTGTACTCGAGAGCCGCCAACATCATCAGAGAATCAATCGAGGTTGAGGGGTGCGTCTTTTACCGCCCGAGACTATCATTTCGTGCTCAGCCGGACCCCCAGTTTGGAGACCAGGCAAATGCATGGGGTTACACGACCTCGTCCTCCAGTGGCGGCGAGGCGAGCCACAGCCCCGAGCCTCGTCCCTGTCACGTACTCGGCTTCTCCAATTCAGAGCTTTCCAGTATTGACAGTGTGCCCAATACGAATTCCGGTCTGTCCATGACGGAAGACTTTCTCGCCCATCTCCTCCACAGGTACCCCCGGGGCACCACGTTCAAGTTCAATGCCGAGGGTGGGCTGCTCTCGTCGGATTCATTAGGGGACGAAAACATACCCCTCCTCGCCTCCATCACCCTCGCTGGTCGAACTAAGTCAACAGAGGACTTTAAGACATCGTCGTTGCCGCCGTCAGCATCAGCCGAGCTGCAGCAAGCCTCGTCCAGAGCCAAAAGGCTGCGCAGCCAGGAGGGCAAAGCTCTACACGAAGCGTTCCCCAACGCCCGCAGTGTCCTCTTTTTTCCCGTGTGGGACTCACGCAAGGACGGCTGGTACGCCGCCGCCTTTGCTTACACCCACAGAGAGGGCCGTTCCTTCTCCGTCACGGGCGAGCTGAGCTACTTGCGAGCCTTTGGCGCCGTCGTTGCATCCGAGATCCAGAAGCTCAACACTCTCTCCGCCGACCAGGCCAAGGCCGACGCGCTGGGCTCCCTCTCGCACGAACTCCGCTCACCGCTGCATGGCATCCTTCTCAGCGCGGAGCTCATGAGGGACATCGACATGGACGTCTACCAGGGCAACCTAGCGCACACCATTGAGACATGCTCACGCACGCTGCTAGACACGATCGATCACCTCCTTGACTACTCACAGATCAACGACTTCTCCAACCCAAATAAGAAAAGTGGTGAGCCCCTCTCAATTGCATACAGCGGAGGAGACCGGGGACAATTTGGCAAGAAGTCGCTGTTTTCGTACATCAGGCTAGATGGCATCGTTGAAGAGGTTGCTGAGAGCGTGTTTGCGGGCTTCAACTTCCAGTACCAGTCTCTCAAGCAGGCGTCCCAGGTGACCGTGGCCAGCGACGTCGCCGCGCACCAGCGCCTTGACTCGGCGCAGGCGTCTGAGCAACTCCAAGGGCGCGAGAAGGACGTTCTCGGGCATCTAGAATTCGGCAACGTGTCGGTCCTGCTGTCGATTGACTCGGGCTGTCAGTGGGAGTACCACGTGCATGTAGGAGCCATCAGGAGAATCATCATGAACTTGTTTGGCAACGCCCTGAAGTACACCAAATCCGGCACCGTTGTGGTATCTCTGAGCCAGGATCACAGAAGACATGTTGTCAGGATCGTGGTGCAAGACACGGGCAAGGGTATGAGTGCCGATTTCCTCCAGACAGGGCTTTTCAAACCGTTCAGCCAGGAGGATTCCATGTCACCGGGCACGGGTCTAGGCCTTAGCTTAGTTAAAAATATCACGACACAGCTCCATGGTCGCATATCCATCGATAGCCAAGTCGGCATGGGAACGACCGTCTCGGTCGTGCTACCGCTTAAGCGCGCAGAGTTGCCAGCCGATATTAATGCATCCCGATCTGACGACGATAAACAATTCGATGGCCTCATCAACGATTTGAAGGGGCTGAGGATTCGTATCATAACCGCTGACGAGGCGGGCAGTACTGCTCCGTCTGCCGTCAATGTCTCGCTGCATGATATTTGTCGTGATTGGCTGCACATGGAAATTGTGTCGAATGAAATGTCCTCACAGGCAGTAGTCCCCGATATTGTTCTCTGGTCCTACGACGCTTCGGTTCAAGCACAAAACGACATCAAAGAGCTCTCAAAGTTCCCAAATGTGGTCATTTGTCCCAATGCTCTCGTAGCATACCACCGAAATACTGAATCAACATCGCCAGATGGCGTGAAGCTACTTGAGTTTGTCTCTCAACCGTAAGTCTGCTATCCTTTCCCCCACCATTGCCCACATGTTAACACCTGGCGCGCAGCATTGGTCCCCGGAAGCTCGCAAAGGTCCTGTCCTTGGCGTACCGCCGATGGGTCGAACCTTCACACCCATTCAATCCGCAAAGCATCGAAGCACCTTTGACCGTCTCGAGACCCAACATTGCAAGGAGTGCCGTCAGCTCCTCTGTCGTCTCCGACATTGATTCATTGAACATCACACCGCAGAAAACCGAAACGGGTGGCCCGGCGCCCACGTACGCCTCCACTCCGGGCTCATCGGTCAGCAATGACGTTCAGTCAGATAATGATGAGCGAGTCACGAGATGCCTCCTCGTCGACGACAATGACATCAATATCAAGGTGCTGTCAGCGCTCATGAGGAAGCTCCGCATCGACTTCCAAACGGCAAGAAACGGCAAGGAGGCCGTTGATGCTTTCAGCCAGAACCCGGGCGCCTATATATGTATCCTGATGGATATCTCCATGCCGGTCATGGACGGGTGTGAAGCGACCCGGTGCATCAGGGCTTTTGAGACTAAGGAACGTCTCCAGCCCGTGTCCATCATTGCGCTCTCCGGATTGTCTTCGAGCGAGGCCCATCGGGAAGCCTTCGAGAGTGGCATGGACTTGTTCCTGACCAAGCCGGTGAAACTGATGACGCTCAAAGATCTCTTGCAATCCCGAGGTATTATTTGAAGAATGGTCGAGGTTTACGACGTGGAATGTCGTAAAGGATTATACTCCCAAACTACCCTTGAAAATCATTCTATTACCGGTGTACCGAGCCAAAGTCTTTGAGGACTTCGCTAGAAATGACGGCCATTGCCATGCATAAAGACTGCTCCCAAGAGGATCGTCATTGTGTGGCCTTAGGTACCTTCACACCAGTGGCATGGTTGCCAACAATATCCCAGCAGGGTTTGCTTGACCACAAACGTGTTCGGTTGTCGACAGTCAGAACTAAATTTCCGCCTCTGCCACAGCCCTCGGACCAGATGACAGAGCCTCCCTAGGAGACCTGGGTTTAGCTAGAGTGATAGGATTAATCTTTTCACAGTCAAGGCCAGAAACATTATCCTCCCGTATGTGTTACCTTAAATCCTCAAAGGGGAAAAAAAACTATATAGATCTGTCAGTCAACAGAGCAAGTACACATTATACCTAGCTTTAATATCAAAAAGATTCGTTTGTCCTTTTCAGGGAACATCTATAGAATGCCTTTAATCCGAACGCTTGTCTTGAAAGTATTGGATGCATACGGAAGCGTGCAGGCTTTACTCCATTGGCTTTCGCTCTCACTGAACGCCCGCCTCTCAGTGCCAGGTTTCGCTAGGTAGGCGGGAAGCCGCTCGACAGCAAGACATATCTTCACGCGTAGCGTGGTACTACGCACCTTTGCCTTGTCGGATTCCATCATCTTTGCCTCGTTATGTAACGTTTCTTTCTGATTCTAAGCTTGTGATGACAACTTCAACATGTGACATAACCTAGGAATGTCGTTCCAGCCCTACCTACTTTTCAGTAAAAACAACTTATTGGTAGCTGTCTAGACAAAATGTGAAGCCATCACGCGAAAGGCCTGCCGCGTTTGTATCGTCGAGGCGCGCGTCTCTTCTGCGCGTTTCCAACAACTATTTCTCCACTGGCTCGCGTCTCTCCAAACAGAGCCTCCGTCTCTGGTTTTTGTTTTCAGATTCACTTCACTCTTCATTCAGCCTCCAAAGACTCCACAGGTTTTCGATCCCGGCAGCCGGCCATTTTCACTCAGGTATGCTTCTCGCTCTTTCCCATCCAAAGTTTCTTTCTAAGTTGTTCTTCTAAGTTGAAAGAAAATCGATTCTTCTCTGCCTGGGATTGTTCTCTCCTTCGCACTGATGGAGCGTCCCAAGCTGACAGGCCACCGCCGGCTCCCGCCATCGCTCATCGACAAGGACCAGAAATGCGAGAACTGCCACCAGCCTGGCGCGACCAAGACGTGCACCGGATGCAAGATCGAGGACATAGGCTCCATTTGTACCCGTTACTGCAGCGAAGCCTGCCAGAAGCAGCACTGGTCTCTCCATAAGTCCGTTTGTCGGGATCGTCGCCGCCTTTCCAGGGCAGTCCGACTTCTTTCCGAGGTCTGGGACGCCTTTTCTACTCTCACCTACGACGGATTTTACTCATACAAAGTCGAAAAGGGTGGGTTTATCTCTACCCATGGCCAGCCAGATCCACTTGAGGAGCTCGTATGGACTGGTGGGACTATATTCCGCGACTTCCATCGAGACGTGGTGCCTCATGGTGCTGACGAGGCGGTGAAACTGGCACTCCTTCATGACTCTAATTGCAGCGAAGTCAACACCGTCGGCCTAGAGCTTGTTGGACTCTTTTTGAAGCGTAGGTCTCTCTCGTTACTCAGCTTATTTCTGCCGTCCGTTCTGCGTTCTGCTGACTTCTTGTTGATGCCAGCTGTTTGTTCCATCATTCTAGAGGCGCATGTGCATGGGAAAGACCTCGCAATGTTCATTGTCCCCCGTCACGGCGTCACAAGAGACAACGGTTCCCACTGGGTGCTCTATGTGCTGGTGAGCAGCGGCGAGAGGTTCGCCATCGACATCACCGGCGCCCAATTTGGCTGGCACGAAAAGATGTATGAGTGGGATGTCTATCTTCAGCATCGCGCCGCTTACAACTATTCGCAGAAGCTTGGAACCTTCGACTATCAATGGTCGACTGAAATCATGGTTGATGAGTCGTCAAACTCTTATCGAAGACAGTCCTGCGAGCTTCGAGGCGAAATTTGCAGGGCAGCTGGAGCTGCTCTCAACGAATTTCTCCTCCTGAAGCAGACAAGTGTTCTCTCGCTACTGTCAGTTCCCGACGCTGAGGCGTTTTCCGCTCAAAAGATGGAGCTCGTCGAGCGAGCTATCTCTTCTATCAAGGAAACAATCCATGAAATCACGGTGGTGCAAGGCAGGGGGAGGTGGTACTTGGAACTGAAAAAGGATCCCTCTGGCAAATTCAGACCAATGCGCAAGGTTGTTGATCAAGAAAACTTTGCCAAAAAGATCCGGAAAGCCTATTTCACACGCGAAGAAGTCGAGACATTCCGATTTCTCACTATGGGCAATCCCGAGGAGCTCCAGGAAATTCTACAGGTGAAGATGTTTCATCGACAGAAGGAACATGGTTGCTTGGATGCTTAGGGATAAGGACTGGAAACCTCAAGTGTGAGGCCAGCAACTTCGGCTGTAGGTTAGTAATTGCTCGGGAGGGCGTTGGGAAAGCAGAGCAAATCCTCTACATCAACCCTATTGGCGATATGTATCTGGCATAGGCTTGTCAGTCGTTAGGCATGACTGAAGCTATATTACCTTGCTCTAATTGATTTTATTCTTTTGCCTACCAGTTAGTCTGAGCACATACCAACATGAGGGATATTGTAATCGATTATTAGGTCCCCGATACCAAGGTATTTCTTGAACGCTAATGCCAGTTGACTTTCAATGCTTGTAGTGAACCTCAAATTTATTCATCCTCATAAAGATACTACCGGGTATCATCTTTAAGTCTACGTTGGTTTGATGTTAGTCTTCAGCTCTCGTCTTTCCACTATTGTTATGTTGTCAATATTCTCACTTAATTTTAGAACTTGTAGCATTTCCTTCTATTCTGTCTAGCATTACATTAATCTTTTTTAGGTTTTGATAGTATTTTAGAATTAAATACATGATGGACACACCGTGTGTGTATAACGAGGATCGAATAGGAAATCGAGAGTCAGTAGGTGTGTTGGTTCAAGAAAGACAAGAACTAGATAAAAACAAATAAGAAAAGGTGTAAAGATTGTAATGTGTCTATACCGCCGCAAAGACGGACACCATGGTGCCCAGCGCGGCACCACAATAAATAGTGCGGCCACCGGTGCCTACCTTACATGGACTATTGCAAGTGTTCCTCTTGTCATCGGATGTGCTGGTGCTTGGGAAAGCGTTTGCACACGTACACTGGTATCCAAGTACCCCGAGCGCTCCAACCGTTCCCAGTGAAAAGAACTGGGTGGGAGCACCGGTGCCTTGAACAGTGGTGCAGTAAGCCGCGCAGTCATCGATTGTTCCTGTCAAGGTTTGGGTCCAAACAGTCCCTTCGAATCCCCATTTTCCATTCAGTAATGTGGAGGGGAAACATCCAAGGTAGTCATAAGTGGCCGCATAGGAGGAGGAGGACTCGCCCTTGAGACCTTGAGGACCAGTTGCTCCAGTAGCTCCTGCGGGGCCGATTGCCCCCGTTGCTCCGGTCGGTCCGGTCGGTCCAGTCGGACCTGCCGGACCCGCAGCTCCGATCTCTCCCCTCAAGCCTTGAGCACCAGTCGCGCCGGTTGCTCCAACAGCACCTGTTGGACCAGTAGGCCCCCGAGGCCCCGTATCACCTGCTGGGCCTACAAGGCCTTGCGGTCCGGTCGCACCAGTGTCGCCCCTGGGACCAGTCGCTCCAGTATCGCCCTTCACACCTGCAACACCCTGAATCCCCCTCTCACCTGCCTCACCCTTCGATCCTTGAGGGCCAATCTCTCCTTTCAGCCCGTTGCCGCCCGTGATGCCTTGGGCGCCAGCATCACCTTTAGGACCGGCAGCCCCAGTGTCACCTTTTACACCAGCCACGCCTTGGAGGCCTTGCGCGCCAGTCTCACCCTTCGGGCCCTGAGAGCCTGTTTCACCCTTGAGGCCCTGGATGCCGGTATCACCCTTTACGCCTGCTATACCCTGGGCCCCTTGAAGGCCAGTATCGCCCTTAGGGCCAGCCAAGCCTTGAGGACCTTGTAAACCAATAGGTCCTTGAGCGCCTTGCGAGCCGGTATCGCCCTTTGGTCCTGCTGAGCCGGTTGGGCCGATAAGACCCTGTTCGCCCGTGTCGCCCTTCACGCCTTGCGAACCGGTATCTCCTTTCAGTCCAGTAAGGCCCTGGGCGCCAGTATCACCTGTCAAGCCTGTTGGGCCTTGAGCACCGGTATCACCTTTCAGGCCAGTCAAGCCTTGGGGGCCCTGTGCACCAAGATCTCCCTTGATACCAGCTGGTCCGATGTCACCTTTTGGGCCTGCAGGCCCTTGTATACCTTGCAACCCAGTGTCGCCCTTTGGGCCTGTTAGCCCAGTATCGCCTTTGTCGCCAGCTATTCCGGCTGGACCTTGAGAGCCGGTTAAACCTTGAGGGCCTTGAGAACCAACATCTCCTTTCAGGCCAGTCAGGCCTTGGAGTCCTTGAGGGCCTTGAGCACCAGTGTCACCTTTAAGCCCCTGTGAACCGGTGTCACCTTTCTCGCCAATTTCCCCCTGTATTCCCGGTGATCCTGGAAGGCCTTGAGGCCCTTGAAGGCCGAGAGCGCCAGCCTCTCCCTTCTCTCCTTCAAGACCTTGGAGCCCCTGAATGCCTTGAAGACCTTGGGCGCCTTGCGGCCCTTCAGGACCTTGGGGACCTTGAAAGCCAATGTCACCTTTTGGGCCTTGTCCACCAGTGTCGCCTTTCAGCCCTATTGGTCCCTGGGGCCCTTGAGGTCCCTCAAACCCAAGGTCACCTTTCGGGCCTTGGGGGCCGGGATCTCCTTTAAGTCCCGGAAGGCCTTGTGAGCCAGTATCACCCTTTCCGCCCGTTGCTCCTGTTAAGCCTTGAAGACCTTGAGGACCCGAAAGACCTTGAGCTCCAGTATCTCCCTTGGGTCCAGTCAGACCTTGAGACCCGGGCAGCCCTTGTGGACCTTGGGCGCCTTGGGAGCCAGCGTCACCTTTGGGACCTTGGGAACCAGTTTCTCCTTTAAGGCCTTGTGGTCCCACACTGCCTGTCGCTCCCTGGATACCTTGGAGGCCAGAGTCACCCTTTGGCCCAATAAGTCCCTGTGGTCCTTGAAGGCCTTGAGTTCCTGCAACGCCTGGATCACCTTTATCTCCTTGTAGTCCCTGGGGCCCCTGCGGGCCTGCACCACCAATACCGCCGGTATCTCCTTTCGGGCCCTGGGTACCAGTATCACCTTTTGGACCTTGAGCTCCAACGGCGCCTTTGAGGCCTTGGGAGCCCGTCTCGCCTTTGGGGCCTTGAGTGCCTGTGTCGCCTTTAGGGCCTTGAAGTCCCGCGTCGCCCTTGGTTCCTTGTGGTCCTTGGGGGCCAATATCACCCTTCACACCATTAAGCCCCTGGAGCCCTTGAGGCCCTTGAGATCCAGGAGGGCCAACCTCTCCTTTTTCGCCAGTGCCTCCTCTTGGTCCCTGGGGCCCTTGTTGGCCAGTATCGCCCTTGATGCCTTGGGTTCCTATGCTTCCCTGGGGGCCCTGCGCTCCAGTATCACCTTTCGGGCCTTGGGAGCCTGCTTCACCCTTGGGGCCTTGCTGACCTGTAGCTCCAGCCTGTCCTTGCAACCCGATGTCTCCCTTGGGTCCTTGTGTGCCCTGGTCACCTTTGAGTCCCTGCGAACCGGTGCTTCCTTTCGGGCCTTGAGGACCAACCGGTCCATGAGGTCCCTGGGGACCGGTCGGTCCGGACGCCCCCGGATTGCCTTTGACACCTTGGGGGCCTGGAGGTCCAGTCGGCGGGTCTGCATAAGCAAGTTGGATGGTCTTGCTACCGTAGGGAGTTGCCTTTTTCGGGGAGCCCTTCGTGATATCTGCGGGTGTTTTCAATGCCGGTGCCGGTGGTGCCTGTTCCTGTGCTTGGCCACGTCCTCGACCTCGACCACGTTCACGTACTCGCTCTCGTGCTCGTGCTCGGGAGCGCCCACTCCCACGTCTTATCGAGTCCAAGAGGATAACGTTGTAGTGCTCTACAACATGTGTAGAAGACTCCTTATGAGACGACTCCCTCCACCTAAAGTGATGTTGTTAGTTTGAAGATCAAACCGCGTCTAAAAAATTGACTTACCTCTCCAAGGCTATACCAGGAGCAGGTGCGGTATAATCTAGGCTTGGACTGATGATAGGCTCTCGATAGTCCGAGCCTTCATCTATGGTGGACTCGACATAGTCCGGGCGAATATCGGTCACCAACTCGATGTATACCGGGCCTTCATCGGTGGCGGGCTCGACATAATCGTGGCTTATACTGGTGGCGGACTCGAAATAGTCCGGGCCATCATCTACTTGGCCGTCCTGATGAAGCACCACAACAGCGATGGGCTTAAGCTTATCAGGGGCATCCTGTGCGTTTCCGCCCTGATGGAGCACCAGAGCAGCGACACGACTTAGAGGGGCCAAGAAAGATGGAAAGGCTACCAGACGCAGTAGCCTAACCGCGATCACCATTTTGAAGCTTCAGCCGAACGAGGGGAGTAGCCGCCACCACTAGAAGACACCGACTAGCGAGATCGGGAGTGGTGAAAAAGGCAATCTCTCCCGTGCGACGTTCCGAAGTCATCTTGTCTTTATGAGAACTGCTTCAGTAGAGGTCATCTCGCACCTTGCACTCGGTTCCCCAGTAACTGTTTCCATCTCAACGGTCTTGGCAAACTCCAGTCAACTTCCTTGTTCTCCGCTCACTACGCCATGCCCTATCTTCGGGAAAAGCCAAGCCATCAAGGTATTTGGAGATAATGAATGTCTCATCTTGACCGTTGACGCGGCCCTGAAGAACGAGTAGCACATGGCAACATAAGGAATGAGATGAGGGATTGCTGAAGATATTTGTCTCAGACCGTACTTAAGCCGCCTTCTTCCCTGCCGTTACCCTGATCCTGAGGTATGATACTAAACGAGAGTCTCCGCCATCCTCAGTTTGTATTTGACCTGTGCGAAATTCCCAAAATTGTTAGGAAATCCTTACCCCATCCTCGTATCTTTATGCCGTTTACCCGTTTCAATATCTCAGTTCTCCCAGCCCAACCCTTCCTTCGGCAGGCGCTTTTAACTTTCCCTTAGAAGGATCGATGGTTGGTATGTTGTCTCACCTTGCCGAAGACCGACGATTTTCGGCGCTTTCCGTTGCTACAGGATGGTCAGCCGCATATGTCCTACAGTAACAGTACCACCGGCTCATCAAAAACACCATCTACTCTACTATATAGTCCGGGGCGGTTTTCGGTCTCAACCTTGAGAATTCGGCAACCCCATTCCTAATATTAGATGGAGCAGCGGCGCAGCATTTCTGCCCGAGAGCTCAGGGGACAGGCCCAGTGGCTTCACCTTTCGGTTTCTCTAGGATCCGGCGATTGTAGGTAAGCCAAGATACACACTTGATACTGTAGGAGTTTTCAAATGGTGTGGTTTTCTTGTCGATATAGCCTCCAATAGCGGCAACACGTGATACATAATGACTCAAGTCAAGTATCCTAATACCGTACACGTAATCTCGCGGAATTTGTTCAAGACATGTCTCATTACATGCTGCCTTCCCGTCTTTGACTAAACTACGTATAGTATCAAGCGTGACGGCTTGCAGGTCCTATTCGCAGCTAGCAACGTAATTTCCGCAGGCCGATTTTAGCCTTGTGTAACGGTCAAAGGAGTCACAGTTTTAGTAACTTCGGCATGCATGACTTGAGCCAAGGAAGTACCAAGGTAGACGTCACCTAAGCCTACAAATTCCCGAGCAACGTCCTGTTTCACATCGGGCGAGCCGCTAGTCACAGCAACCTGGACCCGTTGATGATGCCTATGACCCTCCAGTACAGAGGGTTTTCATTCGAAGAAAAACCATGGCGGATATCGTAGTCTCCTTCAAGCAGGTTGCTGCTCAATCATCAGCCCACAAACGCCGGTATCAACAAAGTTCATCTCACTCGGGCGACGATGGATCTTGCCGCTTGCGATTCCCATTTTCACCTTAATGACCTTAATGCAGGCGAACCCGAACTCATAGTGTGCAGTTTCCTAATGCAAAGAGAAGTATCAAAGGCAGATTTCTCGTAACGCTATCCGATACGCTACACTGAAGAAAGATCTTACGAGATGTCGTGATATTCGAGACTGTTCAAAGCATCCCTATGATAGGAGCAATTTACAGTCACCCTTTTCTCCCCGCTTACCGAAAGGTATTTGACCGAGTTCAGAGGGAATGTTGTGGGTAAAGCGAAACGATCCCACCCCTCTACTTGACACAACAGGCATGAAATTGTGTTACACAGTCCGTAATGTGGAGTCTGCATTCCGCGTTTGCTTTCTGCCAAGCTCTTCAGAGCAGCCTCCAGGTTGTTATCCCAAAGAGCTACAGTGTAGTAGGTCGTCAGTCCCAGAATAGATCGTGGAATATGACTAGCACACTGGTTGATAGGGTCACAGCCGACATATTTCACTCATATATGACGCTATAGCATAATCTAATATGGCAAGGGCGCAGAACATCACAAAGCTTCTCGCAAGGCAGGCCACTCTGAAGCATACAAGCCACAATTCCAAACTACATATATTCCATGGTTCATTCCGATAAGTGTGTTTCAACCTCAGTCGAGTTTTCATAGGCCCTTTTCCGCAATTCGATGGAAGACTGGAGAAGGATCTAGGAAGATCTCGGCCTTGTAGCATCGGAGTTTCTCGTCTTCCCCATGTTCCACATTGAATACCGCGAACCCCGGGATTTCAATCACATCTTGATCAGCATTGTCTCCCTTCACGAGGTATCTAATCTTAGCTGCTTGATATATCCGATCTCCAATGAAATCTATGTAGTTCTAGTCAGCCAGTTGTCCTGTGTGGAAGCAAGAGATCATTGCGGTACGTACCGAAATAGAGTACCTCGTGTGTCATCAAATCAAGTTTTTTGAACACTTCTTTGAACATCTGTCGAATATTTCAGAACATGGAAAAGATTGTAGATGATGGGGATGTTCTAACCTGCCGGACGCTTGGCCCAGATATGACGGGGCTGTTGGCATATTGCAAGCTGGCATTTTCTGTGAAAAAGTTATCCAGCCAGTAATCCGCATCCAGAGTTTTGCTGGCAGAATGAAACTTGAGCTTTATTAATCGATTGCTTCACATTATCAACAAATGATGTAACTGACCTCATGGAGCCACGCAAGTATCTTTTGACTTTCGAATGCAGGAGTAGCCATATTGGTCGGATTATTTGTGAAGAACCCAATTTGATAGTATTATTAAATTCTGAATCCAAAAAGAATGAATGAAGGCATTTGGGAAAGATATAGACCCCAAGAAAGCACGCCATTTCCTATCAGCTTACACCAGCTGGGATCCATCCATTGACGTTATACTGGGTTTGGAAAGCTCTTACTTCCTATCTAGGTATTGTGGGACTCATAGATCCTTCTCTAGCTTCAACCACGAGGGAGCCATTATTAATAATAAACGCCCATACCATCCAAAGAGGGCTGACAAATATGGCTTGCTTGCTATTTCGAATTGGAACAGGTGGGATGCCCCTAGCACAATTTCTCCAAGCCAGAGGCTTATAGGGTTGAATTTATATGCTGTGAAACAAAAGTCTACCTTTTTTTTAAGTTTCTAGTTCTATACCCTCTAAGCAAGTCATGTTCCAAACTTGTAGTGCAAGTTGATTCAAAATGAGGGTGGGTAGAGCAAGCTTCATTTTTGCTAGTATGTTCTAAAGTAAACAATGTTTTTGAAGAAAGAAAAGCAACCTTGAACTTTAAAAATAATGCGTAGCATCTTTCTATCTTATTCGGAGGGCCGGTTAAGCTAGCAAATAAACCGACTTCGCGTTATTAAAGTCATGGTTCTGTTTCATTGATGTCAGGATTATGTGCCGTCGTTCTCGGTGTGTGGCTGCCCCTCGTCTCCATTGTCATCATTACTCTCCAGCTCAGCGTTCTCGTGAGGTAAAATATCTATGCTGTCTCGACGAGGCAGGTCCTCGTCCTCTGGGTCGCTATATTCCACCGGATGTCGCGGTGTTTCAGTCTCATCTGCTTCCTGTTAGAATTACCATAACACTACAGTTCTCTGGGTTAGGCTTACCAAACTTGGCATCCTCATCCTCATGTTCAGCAGTTACCGAGTCCTTGCTACCGTATTCTGTCAATGTAAGGTCTGTCTTCTCTCCGCTAGAAGCGTTCGCCGTCTCGGTGGCGTCCCTCCTCCCCCTATCAATGGTCTCATATTCTCGTTTTCTTATGATCATATTTTGCTGCTGTTCCCTCGCAGCAAGGCGCTTAGGCGTGAGGGGCTCAGTAGGCGCGAGTGTGGGAGGAGTTCGCAGTGTCTGCAGGCTTGTTTCCTGCGATCTTCCTTCTCTCCTCTGGTCGTCGCTGGGTCTGAGGAAGTTTGGGGACTCTTCTCGCTCTCTACTACCGCTCGATCTGTGCGGCGCTTGAGGATCGTAAACTGTCGCGTGAGGACGGGGACGCTCTTGTGATATCGAACGCTCCCTCGTCCTGTAGCGAGCTGCTTGGTAGTCTTCCGCCTTTTGATCATAAAATCCCTCCTCTCTGTCGCTAGTTGCTAAGGCGGCCATAACCTTACACCGGGTGTAGTAAATCAATCCGGTGCTCGTTTCGCCATCCAGAAGGATACGGCGACGAACCTTGGCGTCATCGGATGGTTCTTGCATCAGGACATATTGGTAAAGGTGCATTTGAGATACCGAATCCGCATATCCACTCTCCGTCCAGAGGTCCTCAAGCTTCTCCATGATGCCTTCCGTTCCATCTGCGCCGTTCAATACTAGCTCCTTAAGACATGCGGTCCTCAACAGAAGATCACCCATTTCTTCTGCAGCCTTGACGATGGTAGCAAGTCTTTTGTTAATAACACCACATTTTGCTTTTACAATTTGGATCCGCTCGCCGTCAAAGGGGGCATATAATGGCCAGGATTGATCTGGAAAGACCCCCGTTGGGGTCATGAACCCCCGGAATAGGGGGGTCGGAGAACCTCGCTCATTCTCTATCAAAGTCCATGGTCGATCTGGACACTCTTCTACCATTGCCTTGGCCACCATCCACCGTAAGTACGGGCGGGATTTGACATTGCTCGCATCTTGGGATCGGAGCAGGGCTGCGTACTCGCCTGCCTTTTCCAGGCATTCCAGAGCTTTCATCTTGGTGGACCGCACTCTCAGATAAAGCAGACCAGAGTGCGTCAAGATGTCCAGAAGCGCGAAGTTGGTCGAGATGTCCGCGCCTTCTTTGAACCAGTCTTCATCCAACTGCTCCAGACAGTGTGTGAGAACTCCCCCTCCATCCCGGAGTAACCGACGCCAGGTGACCTCGAGGCCAGATTTGGAGGCCATGCTAAGGAAAAGGTCATGAAACTCCCATATCATATGCTCGCCGCGGAGGTGCCAATAGAGACTATCCCAGTCGACATCATCGCCGATTCTGTCCAAGCTATATTTTAATAATTGAACCTGCGAGATTACTCATTAGGGAATACTCAGCGAACTAAATATAAGTAGACCACACATACCTCTGTTGAGTCCAGCCGAGGCCAGTTTCGGTAAATTATTCTTGTTGAACTATCCACTACCTGGTGCAGGTAAGCAGGAAAATCCGTCGAGACTTCTGGTCGCAACTTCGTGAACGCCCAATTTAAATAGAGACTATCCATTGGCTGGTGGCCTGGGCGCTTCAAGTCTAATCCTGAGAACTTGGAGATCCGCCCAGCATCTAGAAGACATTCCCCATATTGAACCATGACATACTCGTTTTCCAAGAAGTGTCCCAGATCTTGCTCGTATATCTCGATGGCAGCCTTGAAGTGGCCAATTCTCCTTAACCTGGCCGCTTCTTCCAGGGCATCTTCAATGTCATAAGCCGTGGGGAGGGAAAGATGCAAAGTGGCATCCTCCGCTTTGGAAGGGTCGATGGACACAGAGGCGGCACCCATGTCACGGCTGTCCCGATGTCGATCATTAAATCGTTCGCGTGTAAATGAGCCTGATGAGGAGCCGGAGGAACTACGTTCCCGGCGTCGGCGCCTGTCTTCCTCTGGCAAGTGCACATAACGAGATCGGAGTGGTGGACTATGGCGCCCTGTTGGAGAGTACTCTCTGCGCCTTTCCAACTCTCGTCGCCTTTCCAACTCTCTGCGCCTTTCCGACTCTCTGCGCCTTTCCACTTCTCTGCGCCTTTCCATGGCAACATATGCGTCGTTGTAATCAAGAAAGACATTATTAGGCTTGGGGCTCGGCATGTCTCTGTTGGACCCTCGATGGCGTTTTACAACTGCCTTTGAGAATTCATCCGGGGCCTCCTTCTTCAAGGAGTCGAGAAACTGCAACCAGTGCTTCGAATGGCCTTCATCTTCATTTGTGTCTTTATCAGGTCTCCACGTCATAAAGGGCGAACGTGATGCGATGTGGGTAGATGATTACAGTCAAGCAGAGAAGTGTGAGTTGACTTGTCAAGATGGCAGAGGAAAAACCGCAGTTGACATCAAATGCCGGCGCAGGCTGACAAAAGGGTGGATATAAGGCTGGATTCAAGGCTGGCGGCAATAGAAGACAAAAATAGATCCCAGGCATGCATTTTTGCGAGCTGAACCCCTCTCCTGCATGAAGGATGTAACCTTTCGTTGGTCGTTCAGTCTTATATGCATGCAGCGCCACCGAGCACTGCCTCCAACAGGCAAAAGTTCCGGGGTCCCGAAATATTGCCTCATCTCATCTCTTTCGCCTCAAATATGCAGGCTGCCTCATCTCGCCGAACCAATCTTTCGCTTCAATTCCATCTCAAACGACCGATCGCCAGCTTGAGGCCAACAGATTGAGGGACCACACCAACGGCCAACCAAAGGCGAGTATGTCGACATTTCGGTTGCGTTCGAGTGCCCTGCTCACCGAATATGCAGTTTCAAATTCGATCAATCATTTAGACGGTCATCTTCAGCCAACCGCTCCGTTTGCGCATCTCGCCGCGCCACCAATTGTGTCTCGCCTTGAACCAAGCAGCCAACCATGCATGAAGGACCACCCATCCAAGTACGGTATGGTCGAAATGACTTCGAGAAATTTTGCCAAAAGACAGCCCGAGGATCCAATCTCTCCATCGGGTCGCATTCAATTGGCAAGATTGACATTGACTGCAAGTACCGGTGGAAAAAGTCGCAATGGGGCGTCTTGGGGAGATCAGACCCGGCGGGCATTATGTACATGGACATCACCTTCCACCAGCCCGCAGGTTACAGCCTGGAGCGAGCCAACGTCTATGTCACACTGAGCGAGGACCCCGAGTCTTATGCACTGAGGAAGGACAGCGGACACAGCCGTACCAGAAGACGCGAGCAGTCTCTAGACGCTGCCTGCGCTGTGCAGTTCACTGACCATTACGGCCCTCGATACCTCACCGGAGCGAAATCAACACGCACCGAGGCAAAGTCCAATAAGATAATCCCCACCCTCGGCATGATGGGGTTTGAATTAGGAGGTGTCGGGCATGAGACGACGGTATCCCGCGAGTTGACCGATCGATGGGTGTTCAAAGGTCTCGTCCGGAAGCCTAAGACGGGCCCAGGTTATCGCACATTGGAGTGGGAGCTGAGTGGGAACAGCCTCGACGCTACACAGGATCATCGGCAAGAGTATCACACTGCCTTTGCTTTTGAACACAGCCAGAGACCTGTGTATATGCGGGTCGAGATTGACGGCAAACTGCGCGACAGAGGCAGCAAGCTCAAGTACAGCATGATCAAGTTCTCATCCAATCTCACCAAGCAGGACTTGTCCACCTTGACTCGGATAGACCTCACTGGTCTGCCCAGCACAAAACGGCTTGACCGGATCGCCCATGGGCTGAATATGGACATGCAGAGGGAGAACTACATGGATTGTCCCGTCGAGCTCCCCTCTCCCAAGACGGCCAACTTCTTCCCTGAGCCCCTGCCCCAGCCCCAGCCCGTTGGCGCTGAATCCACTCCAGGTCTGATCGCATCGAATATGAACACAATGGGGGCCATCTTAGATCTGGACGATGATGAATTATTAAAGCTCCAACTCGGCAAGCCAGCTGGCCAGATTGAGAACAGACCTGACGACGCCATCACCGAAGAAGACAACTGCTCCGACATGACAGAAGCCCAGCAAGAATTATCGGAGAGCATGGCCTCAACCCTCGTCAATACAGAGATCAAGGCCAGGCCTGCCCTGACCTACGATGACGCTGCTGAGCTTCTCGCCATTCCCGCTGTTCTGAGTGTTCTCAAAGTATTGGCCATTGTGCTGCAGTGGTGGAGCCTTTTTTCAGTACGCGCAGAGGCATCATCTCGAAGTAATCCCACGCTTCGGGCCCTAGAGGGCCGACACGAAGAGACTAAGCTTATAGATGAGGAGGAGGAGCCTGTACTTGCGAAGAATCCCCGAAGTCGCGATTCAAATACGCGACAGGCAGTGCCAATGTGATATAATAGGACTGGGAGTTGGCTACCCCAGAAGGAGAGGATCGGAAACAATGACCATGAATAAATCAATGCACTATTAACATAACAAAGGTAGACGGAGTATGATCGGGAGGTGTCTAACGGATAATTGGAATGCAACTAGGCCAGAGCTCCTTGAGCGAAGGTCACTTGATGGGTACAAATCGGTGAACGAGGGAGCTGGAGATGATCATTTATCTCACTTGGAGCAGAATCGCGAAAAGGAAGAGAATCTGGCTGGGACATCAAGGCAGATATCACGCTTACTCATGAGTTACGAAACTTCATTCAGAGAATTCGACATTGGCTGGATGCACAAGCTTCAGGGCAGTCGGCGTCGTCGCTAAGCTTAAAAATAAGCTCTTCTTTTCGTGCATGAGTCTAACAAATCAAATTTGTATGAGCAGTCACACCTATTCACTAAAGTCAACAAGAAATAAACACTATATGCAGACATTTTATTTAACGTATTTTACGACGAGACCATAAGAAGACCAGATATGATCTGCGCTTTCCCGGACTGAAAACTGGACCTTGAAGACGAGATCGCTTGCGGCTGCCCGATGTCGAAGTGTACTGCTTCTTGTAGCAGTTGATGAACAAAACCTCCTCACTTGTCCGACACCGATGCTCATAAATGCGACAGAAAATCATCTAAATGGCATATGCTGATGGTACGCATCCATGACTGATGCGATGCGCAGAGCAGCCCAATCCTTTCTCTCAATCTCTTTCGGCAACGGTGAACATCCTTGAAGTGCCAGCGCTAGGCGGAGGGAGAACTGCTTTATACTTCACCCCATTTGGCGACGACACCGGCGTATAACTCGGTGGGTTATCCAGGTTCGACCGGTAGGACGGTGGGCGGGAACCCTTGGACCGTGGAACCGCGGGAATATGTCTGACAGGCGGCGGGAGAATCTCGTAGCTGCCGTCTTCATCTTCCGGGACAAAGTGCACCAGGCGCTTGCGAAATCGGAAAATGACGAGGAGCTGCCCGACGTGCCACAAGCTGCGAAGAAAGGATTAGTCGTCTTGGTTGAGCAAAGGCTAAAGCTGGGCCAGCTCGAACTAGACCTACCAGTAGAATATCGCCAAAATCCATGTGCCATTGACCATGGGACACTGCGTTAACCTATCACCGTATGAATTACATTCAGATAACTCCGACGATAAAAGCGGCACGTAGGTTGACGCAAGACCCAAGAGGACACCAAAAGCAATAACGCAGAAAATATGCCATGGAATACAGCCAAAGTTGATGACGCGAATCGCCCGGAAGAGGTCGTCTTCGTCATAGTTTCTTCCTCTCAAGCGGTAAACATAAATGAGAGCCGCAAACGACAGATACGATTCGAGAAGTATACCGAGGGCGGCCTGGAACCAGACGACATTAGCAAACAAGTGAAAGAGGGATTGCGATCGCCGCTACCTTAAGCGACGGGATACTCGTACCATTGCGATGAATGCCCGTTGTACATGGTGACTGAGAGTGGTAAAGGTGATCCGGACAGAGAGGTTCTCCTGGTTTGCACCACCAGTGTATGCGAGGCAGCCGATGATCATCATAGCCATGTGCATACACAAACCAACCCAGTACAAGTAAAAGTACAAGCCGGCCGACTTTGCGGCCGCTGTTTTTGGCGGGGGAGGACCGTCGGAAGCGGACATCTCAATCGATCTTCCTCAACGGCCTTGATGTCATGCCAAAAGCATTCAGAGCAGCCATGCGGGAGTAGCTTGCTCAGGATTTTTATCAGCTCTGCTCTTGGCTCTGGCTTAGCTTGACCGATGAAGCATCTGCTCCCGGGCAATCCAGTTGCCCCATTTTTTAGCCGTGAGTGCTTGATCTGAGGCAGATTCATAGACGAATTGCCCGGCGAGATCGTCCTGGGGACCAATGGATTTACTGGGCCAGAGCACGCGCTCTGGAACGTGTGCTTCAGCCGGGGCTGAGCAGGGCCTTGGCGCCCAGCGCAAAATGCAGCACGACGGCCGAAATTCCGCGCTACGGAAGATCTAGCTGAGCAACTGGGGGTTGGAAGTGGGTTGTTTGGATTGTGCGGAAATTTCAGATCATCAGGTCACGCGAGCGGAGTTGGGTGGTACAGGGTAGCCCAAAAATCGCTGTCGGTGGTCGGATTTGATGAAAGCCGACCAACTGACCAGCGCCCCACTCAAAAAGTTTTGAGACTGGCAAGTCGATTTGCAGCCAAAGATTTGTTTCTTTGCGACCGCAATCAACCACTCCCATCAGCTCGTTCGAATGGCCACCCGTGTTTCCAATTCGGGGCGACCGCCCAAGCCCAAGGGCCAGAAGCATGGAAAGCAAGAGATCCGCCAACAGAAGCGCAAGAGAGAGCAAGAAGACTTGCAGAGCCTCGAGGCCCGCATCTCGGACCTGGTAAGGAATTTCCTCTTCACGCCCATCCCAACATTGTCTCCCTCACAATTCAGCATGCTAACGTCTGCAATGAATCGTACAGGACATAAAGAGCACCGAAATCAAGCTCTTCTCCGATCTACCCTTGTCGCAACCGACCACCTCCGGCCTGAAAGCATCGCACTTCACCACCCTTACCGACATCCAAGCAGGCGCCATTCCTCTGGCCCTCAAGAACAATGATATCCTCGGCGCAGCAAAGACAGGTAGCGGAAAGACTTTAGCGTTTATTCTACCTGTGTTGGAGAAGCTTTATCGAGCGCAGTGGACCGAATTCGACGGATTGGGCGCCCTCATAATCTCCCCGACCCGCGAGTTGGCTGTCCAGATCTTCGAGGTTTTGCGCAAGGTCGGCCGGTATCACGCTTTCTCCGCGGGACTGGTCATTGGAGGCAAGAGCTTGAAGGAGGAGGCCGAGCGACTTACGAGAATGAACATCTTGGTCTGCACGCCCGGTCGAATGCTGCAGCATCTCGACCAGACCGCTGGCTTCGACGCCGATAACCTACAGATTCTTGTTCTGGACGAGGCCGATCGTATCATGGACATGGGTTTCCAGAGGGATGTCGATGCCCTGGTTGAGCATCTGCCCAAGTCTCGGCAAACACTAATGTTCAGCGCCACTCAAAGCAAAAAAGTCTCCGACCTCGCACGTCTCAGCCTCAAGGATCCCGAATACGTATCCGTCCACGAGTCCGCCGCTTCCTCCACACCTTCCAATCTTCAGCAGCACTACATCGTCACTCCTCTCCACGAGAAAATCGATACCCTGTATGGCTTCATCAAAGCAAATCTTAAGAGCAAAATCGTCGTATTCCTCAGCTCAGGAAAGCAAGTGCGCTTCGTCTACGAGAGCTTCCGACATCTCCAGCCCGGTATCCCTCTGCTCCACCTCCACGGACGACAGAAGCAGCTAGCACGACTTGAGATCACGTCAAGATTCACATCAGCAAAGCACTCGTGCCTGTTCGCCACCGATGTCGTCGCGCGAGGTATCGATTTCCCTGCCGTCGATTGGGTCATCCAGGTCGACTGCCCCGAGGACTCAGACACCTATATCCACCGTGTAGGACGAACAGCACGCTACCAAAGCAACGGACGAGCCGTCCTATTCCTCGATCCCAGCGAGGAGGCTGGCATGCTGCAAAGGCTGGAGCAGAAGAAGATCCCGATCCAAAAGGTGAACGTCAAGGAGAAGAAGAAGAAGAGCATACAAAACAGCCTGCAAAACATGTGCTTCCAAAACCCAGACCTGAAGTACTTGGGACAAAAGGCTTTCATCAGCTACGCCCGCGCCATCCACCTGCAAAGGGACAAGGAGATCTTCAACCTCGACAAGCTGGACCTGGACGCCTACGCCGCGGGGATGGGTCTCCCCGGTACGCCGCAGATCAAGTTCCAGAAGGGTGAGGACATCAAGCGGATAAAGAACGCCCCGCGCGCCAACATGTCGAGCGACTCGGAGTCCGACATGGACCTGGACGGGCCGAAGGAGAAGCCAAAGAAGACGAAGAAGAAGGACGAGGTGCGGACCAAGTACGACAAGATGTTCGAGCGAACCAACCAGGACGTCTTCTCCAGCCACTACAGCAAGATCGTGGACGACCAGGACAACAACGACGACTCGGACGACGACTTCCTCGCCGTCAAGCGCCGCCTCAACGACGACGACCTGGACGCGGAGTCGAGGAAGGCGCCCGGGACGGCGATCAAGGCCCTCGACCTCGGCGGCGGCGAGGCCTACGTGGTCGACTCGAAGCGCCGCGAGAAGGCCCTCAAGTCCAAGAAGAAGATGCTCAAGTTCCGGGGCAACGCGTCCAAGCTCGTCTACGACGACGACGGCAACGCGCACGAGATCTACGAGCTCCAGGACGAGGACGACTTCAAGCAGGAAGGCGCGGCCGAGGATCTCAGGCAGAAGTTCCTCGAGGGTGAGACCGCCCGCGTCAAGGAGGCCGACGTCGACGACAAGGCGCTCGCGAGGCAGAAGAAGCGCGAGAAGAAGGAGAAGAGGAAGGCGGCGGAGCGGGCCGAGTTCATGGACTCGGGCGACGAGGCCCCGCAACTCGTCGGTGGTGGCGACGGCGACGACAACGAGGATCCGCTGGCACTGCTGCGGTCGCTGCCCATCGCGGGCGAGGAGGGCGGCAGCGGGGACGAGTCTGGCGACGAGCCGCCGAGGAAGAAGGCCAAGAAGTGGTTCCAGCAGGACTCGGACGTCGAGTCGGACGCGGGCAAGAAGAGCGCCAAGGCCAAGAAGAAGAGCAAGGGCAAGGGCAAGGTGTTCGAGGTGCAAGAGGAGCCCGAGACGCTGGAGGACTTGGAAGCGCTCGCTACAGGGTTGCTGGATGGATGATGGCGTTCTCTATGATAGATACCCACTTGTATATAGATTCTTATCATGGCTCAGTCTCGTTGATTGTTCAGAAAAGGAGAGAAAAGTACAATGTTCAGTTAATCGTCAAACAACTATTTACGAGTGTATGTACTTGTTCTACCTTATTAACCAATAAATACCCCGTCCCTTTACGTTTCATAGGACTGAGGCAATAAAAAAAAAACGCCAGTGCTTGCTTCTGTTCGTCATATCACAAAAATGTGGGAACGCCAAATCATACCACACACACTTGCTCTCCAGAAATCTCAAAAGAAAAAGGACAAAGAACTGACAGTTAAATAACACGGGAGGAGATTCCTACAAATCAGTTCACGGCTCTAGTCATCCACCTGTTGGCCGAACAGTCTTAGTCGATAGAAACATGTGTGGTTGGGAGCGCCGTAGTTGCTGATGGCCCTGACGGCGACCTGATCGGTGGCAGCTCCCAAGTGGACCAGCTCCTCACTGAGGCGGTAGAGTTGCGTCCCATCATGCAACTCAGCTCCTTCATACACGAACTGGCCGATCTTCACGAAGCTTGCCGGCAGGTTGGCCTGGTGGCTGTTCCAGTCTGTCGGCTCAGGGAAGTGTGTAGCCGAGAAATCGCGTACGCGCTCTCGAATGGCGGACTCCTCAATATCGGCATAGATTTCAATTTCACGAGGACGAGCGCCCGGTTCAGTCGTGGCTCCTGGTAGAATGTGGTCGATGACGAAGTGCTGGGGAATGATTCGACGTCCGAGCTGAATTGCGAGCGTCACACCGTGGGGATTGCCGCGGTGATTGACATCGCGGGCAGCACACCAGCAGTCGCCTTCCTCAAACCAAGTGTCTAGGGCAGCAACGTGTGGATAAGCTAGAGGGCCTCTAACACCTCGAGAATAATCTCTTATGACGCCACGACCCATGGGGTCGTATGTCTTTGATGACAGGCCCGTGTTGATGGTGGCCCCGGCACCCTGAGCGAAGTGATTAACCTCGTTTTTCAGCTCTACTTCGAAATGGGCGTGGATCTTCCCGTTGGCCAGAGCCTCAAGGCTCGCTTCCGAGAGGGCCTTGCGAAGGAGGCCGTGAACAAGGGTGGTAATCTCCTCACGAGTCATGGTATCAGGGGCAGGCTGAACATCATTGGCAGCAGCGACGGTATCCTTGATGAGCTGCTCGAGTCGTGGTCTAAGATCGTTCAGCTCGGATTGAATCTCAGATCGATGGTCTGCAAACTCGCTCTTCAGATGGCGGAGAAATTCGTCCCTTGACACAACAACTCCTTCCTGGGTCGGCTGTCTGCTCCCGAGATGCTTTTGGACCACCTGCTGGATGCGAGCTTCCAACTCGATGTCAGAGGGGGGGGTTGGGAGATTCTTGAGAAGCGGATCCACCAGTCTCAGTACTCTTTTGTCGTTTTCTTTGATCCAGCCATCCCAATGGCTCGTCAGTTTTTTGTCGATGTCATCTTCGACGCCCTTTAGACTAAGGTTGAGTTTTGATTCAAAGAGAGGGTCCGTTGTCAACTTGGCCGCAATGGCCCGCCACCTTCGATCCGACTTGATATGCGGAGCACCATCAGCGTCCCTACCAATTGTCAACACATCCTCGTCGCCTCGAACAAGATCTCGTATCGCATGCCAAAATGCTTCAGAGACTACCGGCTTTCCATCTCTCAACTCCATATGTACAACGGAGGGTACAATGTTTTGCAGCTTTTTGATAGCGTCGCCGTGAAGAAGTCCAGTCTTCTTCACAGAGTCAAATTCTTTCTGGTATTGCCTGAGGTAATCCTCAACTTCGTGGAGGCCCTCGCCCAGGTCCCAAATGCCTGATTTGTCTTTCCGCCAGGATGGCAACGGTATC